TGCAGAGAATGTCCGTCTACACTAAGGTGAGCGACCCAGCACCCTTTTGAAAAGCTTAAATCATTCCTCAGTTTATATCAGAACCTGACAGTTTTTATTTTTCCTTCTATTTTCAGACCTGCTTTCCCACCATCATGGACCACATTCAGTTTCATTACAACATCATGCTTGTGGTCAGCTTCACTCTGGCTGTTCTAGCTGTGAGTATTAATCAATTATTCAAGGATTTGGTAGCATAAATGTCACATCTGCATTCTCTGCATTTAGTCCCTGCTATTATTTATGTGACAATGAGAAAGTCATAGTATACATGTAATATATTTTTTCTACAAAGTTTGAATTCTCCATCTTCTCCATCAAATGTTGAAGAATTACAGCATCTGTAGTGGAACAAAAAGTAAACTAGTACTAAAATCTAAATTTGTGAAAAATCATCTTGTACGTAAATACATAGCAGTTTGAGTCTAAGTTCATTATAATATTAGTTCATTATGAATACAGAATCAGAATCAACATTTCACAACCTGCAGATGTTTAACTCAGCTTCCTGTGTTCCCCGACAGCTGCTTGGCATGATTCTGTCCTCCATCATGATTCACCAGCTGTATTACCCAAACAGACACACCATCGTGGTCTCCATGATGCCACCAAAATACGAGGAGCTGCACAACACCCCGGCATACTAGCCAAAGTACGATGCATTGTTTTTTTTTCTTTCATACAGTCCTGTTTTTTTTCTTCTTGAATTTCAAAGTGAAATATTTTTCAAGCAGCATGAAAAATTTCACTGCTTTTCTGTTTTGTTTTGTTTTTAATTTTTAATTTTTTGATAACAACAGTGCTCCACAAAGCCCACAAAGCCCAATTCACTGTTTTCTATTATAATTTTAATGTTTTCATCAGTAATGCCTGACTTGTAAATACCTGTAAAAATGGTCTTGACCTAGTCCATATTTTTGTTTTAATGTCTCAAAGCTCAACAATGCCCCCTCATGGGTAAGAGAATAATAAGTAGTTAAACCTTTTGAGACCCATATCCTAAACTTATTATTGTAAATATTGGGCCAAAAAGTCAGTCATAAGAAATCCATCTCAATAGCTTAACTGCTTTCTCCAGCCCACTAGTCTGAATAACACCATCCCAACATTTCAGGAGGGAATCAAGCATAATATCACCCAAAATGGCAGTTTTATTTCTTAATTTCTTATCTGCCAAAATTGCTTTTCTGATGCATAGAAATAATTCTTTTCACGTGGACTTTTCTGTGTTTGTGTTAAAAAAAAGTTTTTAAATTCAAAATGAAATTTGTACAATTTCACCCTTTTAGTTTCCAGCTTCTTCACTCTTTGCTGAAGAAAATTCACCTACTTTTGGCTCTAAAGTCTTCACCTTAAATACCATTACTGTAAAAACAGTCTTTAATCTCTAAATTAAAATCTCTTTCACAGAATTTCCTGCATTCGATCTCTGAACAGAGCTGGCAGCTTCCACCAGCTATCAGCCATCTTGAGATCCCTGAGACCACTCACAGCTGGACTCGTGTAACCTGCTGTGTTTGTGGAAGGCAGTGTTAATGTTACTGATTCGATTTGTCATGGTAATATTAAATGTATTTAAAAGAAAAGCCACATTCTTTTGTGACCTCATGTGAAGTTTGTTAGTAGGACAGAATCTTCCAAGCTTGCAGTTTGAAACCTGAGTGCTGTGATGATGCAGCTGCTTGTAAAAATGTTTATAAGGGAAATATTTTTGTATATCTTTGCATTTTTGACGTCTCTATGTGTCGTGTTTTCTTCTGATTAAAACTGTAAATCTAACCATGTTACAGGATTAAAAGGGGCAAAAAGAAACTGTGTCGGTCTGAAATTTTTTTCTGTTTCACTGCTGTAAAGGAACTTTTTCCAACACAAATCAAACAAAAAACAACTGCAGCAGGTTGTATGCATAATTGTACAGACAGTCAAAACCCATTACCAGTACTATTGATATGGAAGATGTAATTAATGTGAACACCAGACATTTTCCATGAAAATAAGTAGCATAAAAATGACTTAACCTACATCACTGTACTTAATTTTATGTGTAAATGTGTTATTTTAAAAAAATAAAATGTGCTTACAGTGTTCCAGTAAATTCACTCTCCTTCCACATCTGGATTTGATCATAGGAGGTCATGTTCAGACTGGCCCTACATTCACAGAAGTTTTCAAATCCAACCAACACGTGCCCCTCTCTTTGGTTTACTGGAAATCCTTCTCCCCAGAGAAATAAAACTCCTCTGCACTCTGAGAGCAGTGCTGTTATTTTTACTATATTTTCCAGCTGCAAACATGGCTCACATCAACAGCTGCCTCAAACTCATTTCCACCATAATCAAGAAACTTTTAGAAGGCCAATAACAATCATGATCTCTCATACTTGAGCTCCGTATTAAGCTTTGGAGTCGGTTCTTTAGAGCTGCAGGTATTGCTTAGTGTAAATAAATATAAAAAATCCCAAAGTGATGTATCTAAAAGACAAACATGCTCTTTGACAAAGCCAAGTAAAATCTTCATGACACTTCCTTCATCCGTCTGCTGCTGGAGGGCTGCACCATCAAACTCTTCATCTTCTACGCCGTCACTATGATGATCACCATAGTGGGAGATTATGGAGCCCACAAGGAGAGGAAAGTGGCCCTGATCATAGGAGCTTAAGGGTTTGAGTGCTCTGAATACCATGGGGACCACTGTTGCCTTTACCCTACACATCTTCTTGATCCCTCTGTACTTATCAAGCTTCTTATCTTCCTTCTTCCTGATGTTGCTGTCAGTCGGTATAGCTACGTCTATCAATACGGCTATCTTCCTCTGCTTGTCCACCAGTACTATGTCCAATTGATTTGTCTGTCTGTATCTGGAAGTCCCACAGGATCTTAGGTCGGTCATTCTCAACCACTGTAGGGGGCATCTCCAATTTTGACCTTGGGACTTTGGTTATGGCGTTCCATGTATGCCCTGTCTGCTGGCATCTTGCACCCTGCTGTTATGTGCTGGATTGTCTCAGAGGCGTCTTTACACTAGCGATGGGATCTCCGGCTCTTCATAGAGAACCGGCTCTTTTAGCTCGGCTCACTAAAAAGAGCCGGCTCTTTCGGCTCCCAACCGGCTCTTCAGGTTATTTTGTTGCTTTAATTAATTTATTATTAACAACAATAGAAAATTATGCACAAAAGGAATTACTAATGTAAAAAAAACTTGGTTTTGTTTATATATGTTTATGTATAAATATATACGGTGGCCCCTAGAGACAAAGCACGTACAAACTCCAAAACACATTTCTAGCATTAACTGAACTTCCAAAACTGCTAATCAGGTAGGAAAAGAGCTACCTAGATCACTTAAATTACACAACTGAAAGCATATGTGTATTGTTTGTGTATTTATACATAAGCATTTATATATATTCAAATAATTCGAAAAAGTTTTCATTTACCTGTTACTACCACACACCAAATCCGGTCATTGGTACTTCCTGGCTTGTGCAGCCTCTAAGTAAAAAAAGCTCAACACTGCCCCTAGCATCCTGGAGCACTTCTGTTGGAGTTTGCTTTGGAGTTTGTACGTGTTTTGGAGTACGTGTTTTGTCTCTAGGGGCCACCGTAAATATACTTTTATTCATTCATTCCACATAAAATGTAATAAATAAATCATATAATACAAAAACCAACTATTTACATTTCAACTTTTAACTATTTAAATTTTCAGCTTTTTCCTTTTAAAAGTGAAACAACACAAAACACTGCAAACCACAACAATTAAATATAAATTAAAATATGAAAACAAAAAGAAGATGCACATTCTCTGTCATATGGACCTGCATGAATAAACTTTCTGAATCCTTTATCATCCACAACCGAAAATAGTTGTGGATGATTACTACACCTTTCTAATGTGACATTGTTGTCCCTCTCTCTCTTTCTCTCTCTTTCCCTCCCACTCTGTTCCTGGAGTGTAACTACCTCCCCTCCCCCCTCTGCCCAGCGAAAACCACAAGGCTCACGTGCGGAGTGAAGTGGAAAAAATTTACGAATAAATTCTTTACAAATCCTACCATGTGGATTCATGGATTTTTTTTTCACATTCTGGCTCTCACAGTTGAAGTGTACCTCTGGTGCAAATTACTGACCTCTGTCATCATTTTAAGTGGGGGAACTTGCACAATCGGTGGCTGACTAAATACTTTATTGCCCCACTGTACTCATGGATCTTTGTTGTTTAATCCTGGATAGTGGTTCTGTGTACTCACAAGTTCTCAGCTTCCTTCCTCCCGCTAAGTGTACAGTCTCTAGGTGCTGGACTTGGGATGTAACTCATCACATATGGTCAGGAGCTCCCTTGTCTTAATGTGGCTTCTATCTCCTCCTTTGGCCAGCTTATTATCCCAGCAGGGTGTCTGGTGGCTGGCAGTGTGTAGTTGTTCATTTTTTTTTTTATCTTGCCAGGCAGCCTTTGCAATCAAAATTATGATCTCACTGTAATGTTGTGTCAAACATTTGCTTTTCCATCAAACGCTATAAAAACTCTTTATAGGCTCCTTTTGTTTGTCTTGTTTTGTTGTTTTGTTTTTACCAATTTATTGATTTCTATTTTTATTATTTTGCTATTATTCGCAGTACATGTGGAATATAGCAATGTCAGTGATGCCAGGCAGAAGAAAAGACACAAATGAAAAAGAAAATGGGAGAAAATAGAAGAAATAAATAACAATAAGAAAGAAGACGAAGACACAGCACAAGTAGAAAAGCAAAACGGTTCAATCACAATTTTAGAACTGCACAAATGAGGTAAGGGCCTGTGTCTGTGCCTTTGTTTACATACTTGATGAAGAGGGTAAGAAGCCACAGTAATGCAGACCAAGGCCTCATGCCAAAGTGCAAGAACAGAAGCTAATCTTTGCATCGCACACCTGTTATGTAGTCAGGTGATTAAATGTAGAGGGGAGTGGCTGCTCCGTTCAGCCGAGAACGAAACTAAAAGTGAGATCAGTTGACAGAGCAGGAGAAATAAAGCAAGGTGAGTGTAACTGCGAATGCATGTTCTGTCAGAATAATCAAAAACGTTTTTTTGAGTTTCTGACTGTTCTCAAGTTGGAATAAAATTTAAGAAAGTCAGCAAAAATGTTTGTTTGATTGTCTGCCCAAAGGAAAATATTGACTTACCGTACTGTGTCTGCGTGCGTCGGTGTGTGTAATTCTTGTGCTACCAGTATTGGGTGTGACAAACATGTTTATTATGATAATTGTTCTGTGCTCATTCTTTGTTTTGCTGCTTTCTTTCTCAGACTAACGATGAGTGAACTGAAGGAACCTGGACCCTCAGACATAAAGTAGGACACTGATTCTTCTGTAAACTAAGGGGAAGATGAATCATTTGGCAGGAGATACTATTATTTGGATTAAAAAGCACAACATAAACTTACTGACAAAGGAGTGAAGGAGTGCTTCTGTTTCATTGTAACTATACACAAGCAAGCACATAAGTAGGGTGGGAGAAGTGAGCAGGATAACATAAAAACATGCATTAACGTCAGATTTTATATGATATAAAGGCTGCTCAGTGGAAATTCTTTCTGCTGCTGCTTCAAAGATTTGGGTCTGATCAGAAAGACTACACAGGGGACGGTAATAATAAGAGTGTAATACTATTCTCTCAGCACTACACTCTCACTGTTTCTCAGTCCTTACACAGTCATGATCAGAGTTTAGGATTAGGATTGAAGAGGAAAAGATTAAACATTTACTGAAAACATCACATGTTTTAGCCTCAGCACTACACTCTCACTGTTTCTCAGTCCTTACACAGTCATGATCAGAGTTTAGGATTAGGATTGAAGAGGAAAAGATTAAACATTTACTGAAAACATCACATGTTTTAGCCTCATAAACCCAACCCTGAGGGAGAAGAAGCTCAGTACCAAACAACAGGAACATGCACAAGACAAATGTATGATTTTTTCTGTTTGTGTTTCCAGCATTCAGCAACGCAGACACAGTGCAGAGCTTTCAAGATCCAGCTGTGTGTCTTTGAAGACTAACCAGTCCAAAGATGAAAACCCAATCTTCAGTAAAGAACCTGGACTCTCAAACACAAAGTAAGGCAGTGTTTATTCTGTAAATGAAGCTGAAGACAATTCATGATAAGAGAACCACTGTTGTTTTACAGTAACTCTTAGACCACCTTCACTCAACTCTAACAATGCAAAGCTTCTGTGAGGATGTTGAAAATTTGTGTATTTCCCCACACGAAAAAAAAATTACCCACTGCAAGCAGGTCTGGCCCGGATCTGGTATTAAGCCGGTACTGCTGGCTGACTTCTGGTATGATAAGACGTATGTCATCCAGATATGGGCCAGGCCTGGCATAGATGGCACTGTCTATGCGATGGCATGCCATATCTGGCCCGATTATGGTTTGGTTTATGTGGCCCAGGCCCATAGAAAACAGCTCTGGCCAGGATCCGGCATCAAGCTGGCACTTCTGGCTGACGGTTGTTATGGCAGGGTGTATGTCAACCAGATGTGGGCCAGGTCTGGCAATGACGCTCCTGTCTATGCAATGGCATGCCATATCTGGCCCGATTATGGTTTGGTTAATTTGGCCCATGCCCATAGAAAACAGCTCTGGCCGGGATCCGGCATCAAGCCGGCACTTCTGACTGACTGGTGTTATGGCAGGGTGTATGTCAACCAAATGTGGGCCATGTCTAGCAATGATGCACTATTTATGTTCCTATTTTCCTATTTTAGTTAGAAGACCCAAATGCCATGTTTGTTTGTTTAGAAGACCCAAATGCCATGTTTGACAGGTTTGTGAGTGTACACTTTATCCAAAACCTAGTGAGGGTTTACTCATCTTTGCCAGTGGGTGGCTGTAGCTCAGGTGGCTTAGTGGTTCGATCCCTGGCTCCTCCAGTCTGCATGTCGTGAGTGTGAATGTGTATGAATGTAGTTAGGAAGCACTCAGTTAAGAGAAAGTGTGTGGTTGGGTGAATGTGGCATGTTGTATAGAGCACTTTGAGTAACCTGGGAGGGTTGAAAAATGTTTTATAAGAATCAGTATGTTCACTGTCTGAACAGAGTTTTGTCATGTTACGTTTGCACTATTATGCACATGTTGTTATTACAAGGCTTAATTAAGGTACACATTAGGCTGACAGCTGGGGCCAGACCTGAAACTGTTCTGGGCCAGCACAGGACCACCAGTGTGTCTGCAACTGGCCTTGTGCTGGCCCATGTGTGGGCCACCTCTGGCAAACCAGATCTGGGCCCACAAAGGGCCGTCATTCTTTGCGGTATGTGGGCCATGTGTAAGCACATCGTGTGGGCCAGATCCGGGCCATACCAATTTTGCTATGTGGGTATCTGATGTGAAAAGCTCACTGATAAACACATCAAGGAGTTCTTCTATTTTAATGTATCTGTATACATGCACAGCTAAATATAAGTAAGCAGGATTTCCTCACATAAAGATCAGATTTTGGATGATAAAGATTTCAAATCTTTAGTCTCTTTAGAGGCATGATGGTTAAAACAAAACAAAGCAAAACAAACAACTGCACAAAAACACAAATTAAGCAATACATAATTATAAACCTTTGTTTTTAGTAGACTTTGTATCCTAAATAGTGAATATAGTATGTACAGTATAGTAAAATACAGTAAACTTTAAGTCTTCACAAATTAGAATATTTGACTTATTCTCAGAAATGCAAACCAAGCTCTTGCTATAGGCAACATGTAGACACTGCAGAGCCCATAGTAATGGGCCATATACTCCATTCTCCTGAAGGATCCTTCAGTGGACAAACCAAGAAGTTGATACCTTCAAAAAAGTGCACAAAATACATGTAGACTGGTTGAGCAAACTTGTTCAAACCAAGACTTGAGTTTCGAGTTTTAATGTGCTTCTTTAGTTACTTCTTTGTTTACATGGAGGTATGTTTTGAGTCACTGTCATGATGGAAGTCCCAACCATGACCCATCCTCAGTGTTCTGGTTGAAGGAAGGAAGTCCTTGTCTAAGATTTTGCACTACATGGCCCCACCCATTGGCCACTTTTGAACAGTGTTGGGACTAACGCGTTATTAAGTAACGCGTTACAGTAACTACATTATTATTGTGGTAACGAGCACGGTAACTAGTTATTATGCCAAAATCAGGAACGCGTTAGTCGTTACTGGGATTTAGATAGGGTCGTTACTCGTTACTTCGTGTGGTGGCTATCGCGGAGCTTCCACAGATTCAGTAACATTAGCAAGTGGTGGAGGCCAGCAGGTGGATGAAGGAAAAGGGACGCAGAAGGAAAAGAGACCCGAGGCGGCCGCCGGTCCAAGTGTGAACTGAACTTCAGGTAAGAAGTTATGACCTGCAGTCTCTCTGGGTCAGATATGAACCAAGTTTAGGTGGAGTTTATTTTCGTTATTCTGACTTTTTCCGTACTGCGTGCTAGCTAGCATGACGGAGTTTCTATACAGCTGGGTGGTGCTATGAAGTTAATGATGTTGAACTTTATTTTGTTCATAAGTTATTAGAGTTGCCAACCGTCCCGTCTGGTATTCAGAGAAAATATTACGCGTTTCTTATTGAGGTGAAAAGGAACAGTTTGTCCCGTAATTCAGCTACAATGAAAAAGGCACAAAGCTGGAGTTATTCTGTGTCTTTGCTGCACAGCTGCCTCTTCTTCTCTCATTCTCCCCCTCCCTCCCTGTTTCTACTTCAATCATGAAAACTGATCAATGATCAGCTGATCGGCTCTCTTGTTTGTTTATCGCTCACTTTGCGCCAGAAAGAGGAAACCAGCGGATGTCGCGCTAAACAACAGCAGCACGTTTAAGCTTGATCAGCTGTTGTTAGAATTTATTTAATATTAATTTCTAGTATCAGCTGATGTTTGCTGGAGCCACAGCTGCAAAAAAGCTGCTGGTCATGATATGGTTTGGTTATTGGTGAGAGGGAAACATGAAGATGAAACCAGGAGATGTCCTACTGGATCATCAGAGCTGAACAGGTGATGGAGAAACAGGTTTACCTTTTAGGTGACATGAATGAGTTGAAGGGAAGTTATGAACTGTTTCTGAGAGACAAATAACACCAGGATCCTTTTTTAGGTAGCTGACAGCTGGTAACTGTGCAGGGGCGGGTCTAGCAAAGTGTTGCCAGGGGTCCAGTAGGGCATTAACAGGGAGAGGGGGCACAAAGAAATACTTTTCTTTCTTATTCTCATTTAAAATGTCTAGCTTTTAAAAAATAATTATCTGAATCTTACAACAAACGATTGATAGATTGATGCATATATACCATCAGAACAGTGAACATCACTGTCACAACAGTGTTTATTTTCATTCAAAGGCTTTATGATTTTTCCTATAATGGTGGGCCGGTCTCTAGTCAAAATGCCCGGGACATTTTTTTGTCCCAGTCCAGCCCTGTATGCAGCTCATCTGCAGTCTGGTGTTACCTACATCTTCCTATTCAGAAGGCAGAATTTCCGAGTTCTGAGTACAATCGAAAGCACCACGACTGCAGTTTTTGTGTTGGATGTAAAAGGCGCACATGACGCTGTGACGTAGGCTAGAATCATGGCAGCAGTCAATGACGGTCCAGGCGTGGGATTTCTCTCGTGGAAATATGCACATTATCTTTTCCTTTCTATTGGTAGGTGGCACAGTGCACTTGTGGCAAGTAAGCAAGCTAGAAGACTGGCAAAGTTATGGAAGAACACATTAACAAGAGAATTCTGAGTAAAACCAAAGTTACTTTCCCTAGTAACTAGTTACTTTGAAAGTAACGAGTAACTTGAAGTAACTGAGTTACTTTTGAGAGAAGTAACTAGTAATGTAACTAAGTTACTATTTTAAAGTAACTTACCCAACACTGCTTTTGAAGCTGTCTTGTACACTTAGCAGAAACACAGCCCCAATGCATATTGTTTCTGCCTCTGTGGGGATGCCGTTCTTTGGGTCCTACTCAACATTTCTCTTATACCAAACATGGTTGGTCATGTTGACACCAAAGACCTTGATTTTGGTTTCACCTGAAACAGGACTTTTACTTGAGCCTTCTTGGAATCATTGAGATGCTCAATGACAAACTTAAGATGGGCCATTAAATCCTTCCATTCACTTCCACTTGTCCCATTCAGGGCCATGGGAGAGCTGGAGCCTATCCCAGCTGTCGTGGGTGAGAGGTGGGGTACACTCTGGGAAGGTTTCCAGTCTAATCGCAAAGCTAACACAAAGAGACAGACTACTATGAGCAATTTACAATCACCAATTAACCTAACTCCACTAACTGCATGTCTTTGGACTGTGAGAGGAAGCCAGAGTACCGGGAGAAAATTCGACAAGGGGAAAATTCAGTTTCGAATGGCCCTTAGCAATGGGTCAGACACTCCATGCTCCCAAAGCCCAACAGGACTTCTTCTTCAGTCTGATGGTTTCCTTCATCTCTGGTGTGTGTAGGTGTGTCCTACTCTATGTGCTAGAAATTTTATGTTCCAGGAAGTGTGAGTTTAACCACATTTCCATGTAGCACATCCAACTATACTCATATCCATTCTGGGTCTTAAATAAGGCTCCAGGCTTGTTCTTGAAAGCTTGCATTTTTCCCCTCTCAATTAAATTAGTCTCTGCAGCCTTTCCATGCTTTGTGATTGGCTCCAACAGCCAACTACAGACTGATCATGACCGTGATATATATTTGTCAGTGCTAGTATTAACTTTTAGCACTTCTGGCTTTACTGTGCTTTGTTTTGATCAGAATAATTGTTCCGTGGTTTTCACAGTGTGGAGGAGCAGATGTCCTGCTGTACTTCCTATCAGGATTTTAAAAAGGATCTGGTCTCTACCAGCTGTGGATGCAGACAGTCCATCTCCTTGCACCAGTCTGCTTCATTAGAAGGCTCTTCAAGCATTCAGAGAAACTATGAAAGTAAGCTCTGTCTGATTATTTCATTTCTGAAAGCTGGACTTCTTGTGTTGTTCAGGTATTAAAAGCTAAAATAAAATCTGGTGTCTTGCCAAATGAGCAAAGGACAAAGCACAAAATATACCCAAAGAGCCTTTATTCTTAACAAATTGAATTCTAAAAAAAAGAACAACAATTCAAGTGCATCAGCAACTATAGTGGCTTGTCTTCTTCTAGTGCATTGCTTAAAGCTCACTCACAAATGCACAGCTGAAATGGTCCAAATCCATAAATGGTAAGGAAAACCAATGGACTTTATCCGTTAGGCCTGCAAAGTCATTCAGCATTCAACTACACCAACCAGCCTAGAGGGATGGTTTGGTCCAAAAATCTGAGGCGTAGCCCTCCCCCTTGGTCTGGTTGAGAAGAAACTTCCTTTTCCCTGTCTCCCCCCGTCCATTTTTCTATAACATCCAGTTATAATATATATTTTGCTTTATGTTCATTGATTTTCATTCTTTTAGCAGATAGTCGTCTGCTGCAGAAGTTGTTAGACAAACATAAGGCTAATCTGGAGAGGAGATGTAAATGTTTGACTGAAGAAACAGAAAGTGGAACCCTATTTAACAGGATCTTCACTGAGCTCTACATCACAGAAGGACAGAGTGAAGAGGTTCATACCCAACATGAGGTGTGGCAGCTGGAGACAGTTTCCATGAACAAGGCCCTCCATGACACTCCAGTCAGGTGTCATGACATTTTTAAAGCCTTGCCTCACCAACAGAGATGCATCAGAGTGGTTCTGACGAATGGCATTGCAGGCATTGGAAAAACTTTCTCAGTGCAGAAGTTCACTCTGGACTGGGCAGAAGGTTTGGAGAACCAACGTGTCAGTGTGGTGATTCTGCTTTCATTCAGGGAGCTAAACCTGATCAGAGATGACCGGTACAGTCTTCTGGACCTGCTCCATGTTTTCCATCCAACATTACAGAAGGTCACAGCAGAGCAGCTCACTGTCTGCAAACCTTTGTTCATCTTTGATGGCCTGGATGAAAGCAGACTTTCATTGGATTTCACTAAAGGGAAGCTTGTGTCTGATGTCACACAGAAGTCATCAGTCAGTGAACTGCTGACAAACCTCATCAAAGGGAATCTGCTTCCCTCAGCTCTCATCTGGATAACTTCCCGACCTGCAGCAGCCAATCAGATCCCTCCGATATGTGTTGACAGGGTGACAGAAGTACGAGGCTTCACTGATGCCCAGAAGGAGGAGTACTTCAGGAGGAGATTCAGTGATGAAGAGGTGTCCAGCAAATTCATTTCCCACATGAAGACATCCAGGAGCCTTCACGTCATGTGTAGAATCCCAGTCTTCTGCTGGATCACTGCTACAGTCCTAGAGCACATGTTGACTACAGAGCAGAGAGGAGAGCTGCCCAAGACCCTGACTGACATGTACTCACACTTCTTGCTCGTTCAGACAAAGAGACAGCACAAGTACCATGAGGGATATGAGACGAGTCCACAAGAGCTGACAGAGGCTGACAGTGAAGTTCTTCTGAAGCTGGGGAGGCTGGCCTTTGAAAATCTTGAGAAAGGAAACATCATGTTCTACCAAGAAGACCTGGAGCAGTGTGGTCTGGATGTCACAGAGGCCTCAGTGTACTCAGGAGTTTGTACAGAGATCTTCAAACAAGACTGTGTGATATTCCAGAAATCAGTCTATTGCTTTGTTCATCTGAGTATTCAGGAGTTTTTGGCTGCAGTCTACATGTTTCACTGTCATACTAACAAAAAAACAGAAGTGCTGAAGCATTTTCTAGGGAATGGTGAACATATTTATTGTGGTGACATCTCGTCTTTAGATGTCTTTCTGAGCAGAGTCATGCAGAAATCCCTCCAAATTAAAAATGGACACCTGGACCTGTTGGTCCGATTCCTTTATGGTCTCTCTCTGGAGTCCAACCAGAGACTCTTACGAGGTCTGCTAGGCGAGACAGAGAGCACTCCAGAAATTATACAGCGAATCATCAGCAACCTTTGCAAGATAACCAATGAGAATACCTCTCCTGACAGATGCATCAACATCTTCCATTGTCTGATGGAAATGAATGAACTCACGGTACATCAGGAGATCTTGGAGTTTCTGAAGTGCAAAAACAGATCAGAAAAGGAGCTCTCTGAGATCCACTGCTCAGCTCTGGCCTACATGCTTCAGATGTCAGAGGTTTTGGATGAGTTTGTCCTGAAGAAGTATAACACATCGGATGAGGGACGAAGGAGACTGATTCCTGCTGTGAGGAACTGTAGAAAGGCTCAGTGAGTAAATATCTGATTAACATTGTAAATCAATGTAAATTTGTAGCTAAGGTGTTCAAAAGTTCTTACTATAATGCTCTCATTGTTCTTTCTTATAATTCCATTTTTTCTATTGCAAACAATACACTGGTTAGATTTTCACAGATGCTGTTGAGCTGCTCTGAAAATGTTGTTTGTTTTTAAGTAAGAATTACTGCAACAATGCATTGTAACGACGGATTACTGTTTGCTTACAAACTCTAACTAATTACGACCACAGTAAATAGACTACATTTGAAATTGCACTAAAATCTTCAGGTCTGAGAGAGACTGAGGAGAATTATTGTTTCATGTTACACATGTTAACACAAATCTCTATCCCAGGGGTAGGGAACATTAGTCCTCGAGAGCCGGTGTCCTGCAGGTTTTAGATCTCACCCTGGGTCACCACACCTGAATCAAATGATTAGTTCATTACCAGGCCTCTGGAGAACTGCAAGGCATGTTGAGGAGCTAATTTAACCATTTAAATCAGCTGTGTTGGATCAAGGACACATCTAAAACCTGCAGGACACCAGCACTCGAGGCCTGGAGTTCCCTACCCCTGTTCGATCCTAATGAGGACACAGTTAACAACTTTATTTAATGTCTGTGTTTTTGTTGTTAATGTTTAAGCATAGCATCAAAAACAAAAACCAAAGATGAAATCTTGTGCAAAGAGACTTAAAATCGGCATATTGATTGTACCTAGAAATTGAGGTTACAGTGCTACAAGCCTAACTGCTCATCAATATTGATTGATTGATTGATTGATTGATTGATTGATTGATCATACTTTATTCATCCCGAGGGAAATTGGGTTAAGGCTGCCAGCTGTGCCAGCGTCATCTTACCCTTCCAACCATACATACATTACACAAACATCACATGGGGAAGACAGGTCAGAGAGGTATAACATGGAAAAAGCACAACATGAGGAAAGATAAGGAGAAAAAAATAACTCCCCCAGACTGAGCTCCAACAGGGAGATCAGTTTGAGAACAGAAAAAAACACCTCTAGCACTAAAAAACTCTTAATACACCAAAGAAACACATGACAAGCAACAGGGGTGGGTAAAGGGTGAGAGACAGCCAATGTAGACAGTACATCCGGGCCTGCAGCCTCCAGCCAACCCAGGTGGCCTTGCATAGAATGTGAAGAACAGTCTAAACACAGTCGTTATCAGGGTGTTTTTGTTCAACTCCAGCCTTGAGACCGCAGCTGGCGCCAAAGGGGTATCCGCATGAAGTGATGGTGTTTTTTGCTTTAGTGCGAACAACTCATATGAATTTCAAAGCTGTTCTAAAGTCAAAGTCAAAGTCAAAGTCAACTTTATTGTCAATTCTGCCACATGTACAGGACATACAGAGAATAGAAACTTCGTTACTCTCAATCCCTAGATAAAATAGAAAAAGAACATTTAAATATAAGAGTGATTAAAAATGCAAGTAAAATATTTTAAAGTAAAAATTAAATAATATAATACAATTTTACATATAACAAGAAAGCTATACAATATACAATATAAGGGTAAATGACATTGGGTGCAAACCAGGCAGAGTAGTGCAAATAAGCAAATAGTGCAAATGGAGATTTGGTAATGTACGGTATGAGATAGTGTAACATAAAGTCTTATGAGGTAAACTAACAGTCCAACACTGGTCTCTCAATCTCCCGTTGGAGAGCCGTGAGCTTCTCCATGATGTTATCAAACTTATGTTCCGTGGTCTCGTCATTCTTGTGCTCAAAGAGCCGATTCTGAGAACTCACGACCGCAGTGAGCTTCTCCAAGATGCGATCCAATTTGCGCTCAGAGGTGTTATTCCGATTTTATTGGTACTACTTGAACTCCGCCTCTGGCTGCACACTGTATACTTCACTAGGTTTGTGTAAGCATTCTGTCTGCAGATGTGTGGAAAGAGCTGATATTAATTTGTCTCTGTCTGGATTCAGGTTGCACCATTGTGCTCTTTTTCTTTTGTTCAATGACATCTTACTTTGGAACATGCCACACAAAACACTAGTTCTTTATAATAACTTGTTCTGTAATATGTGTCATCACAGACTTTCTGGCTGTAAACTGTCAGAGACTCACTATGAAATCGTGGCCTCAGCTCTCATGTCCAACCCCTCCCATCTGACAGAGCTGAACCTGAATGGAAACAACCTGCAGGGTTTAAAATCACAAAACCTTTTTACTGCTCTGGAGAGTCCAAACTGCAGACTGGAAACTCTGAGGTCAGTTCACTGATTACTATTTCTGAAGATATTTCAATAAATTGAACTGTAAAGCTTTCCCCTTATAACCTGACTCTAGTGCTGTCAGATGGAGTGACCCATCTTTTTCCAGTTCCTTTACGGTATGTTAGTTTTGGGTATCCAGGACTCGAATTTCGGCACCAGATTGTGCACATAGTTTAATAGGTTAAATCCTACACTCTACATTACCTGATGCAATGCCATGTGTCAAGTTGTCTTGCCTTTAGTTTCTTCATGTGGTGTTCTGCACTAACAGCTCCCATACAGACCTCCATACTCAGAGACTGAGAAAGTATATACACAAGGGGAAAATTAGGGAGTGGAGACAGCTGGGAAACACGGTGGAACAAATTAGACATAAGAGGAAAGGGAAGCAAACCAAACGTTATACACAAGAGACAAGGACTATCAAAAGGAAAGAGGAAACCTGACAGACACAGTACTCAAAACTTAAAACAATGATATTTTGTTTTGTGATTTTATTTGCTGGGGTGCTGGAATTTCTTTTTACATTTTTTAATTTAATACTCAAATGTTTTTTTAAATGTATCCATCACAAATTTCTGAAATTAATTTTTATGCTAAGACCAGTTAAATATTCAACTCAGTCAATAGTTTTAAAGATATACATGTTTAATCATTAACTCAAATTTTAGAGTGCAAAATAAAGGCCAGAAAGAAATTGACAGACCAACCAAAATATATTTTGAAAGGTATTCTGTATGTATGAGTATGCACCAGGGGCCTGTTCTTCGTACCTCGCTAAGTAAGTTAGCTGGATTAGATTGTTGACGATTTCGCGTGATCCAGGATCGTTCGGTTCCCCGAAGCCCATCCGGGACTTGCTGTCATAGCAACAGAGCCGTAAGCGTAAACCTGCTGGGGAGCAGGTTTACTTTATGTAAACAGGATTAGATCGCGGCCACGCAGGTATGCCCGCGTCATTTATACGAAAGCAACAGCGATATTCCACCACTGTTTCACCATAAATAAATAACATCAATGTAACTAAAGACAATGCAGCACCTGATCCATTTATTGATTTCACACAGATACATACAGGTCATTTCCTAAAAAAGGGAAATGTACTATTAACATTCTATTACATGTATGTGATTATTACAGATGTAATTCATATTTCAGAGTAGCAATTGCAAATTACTTCGTGTAATCAAGATGAGAGACCACGGCTATAAAAGCGAAGGTGGATTTGGGAAGCCTGTCGCAGCCATGTCCTGCGGAAGGTGCAAGATTGATAAGGAGAGTTTTCAGAATTCAGCGTATATTGCGGGACAGACAGGATCCTTTAGCTCAGCGCGACAGTGTGCTCATAGAGAGATATCGATTTTCCCGTGAGGGTATTATTTACTTAACCAACTTGTTGACGAGGGGGTGCAGGACCACCACCTGTCTTTTTTTGCTCTGCCCTTTTCTTGGTTGCTGTTATAAACAAACAGATTATTTCAGGGTCTCTTTCCAAGAGACTAAAAGCAATATAAGTGATAAATATTACCATTCTGTAGAATATTCCTATATTTCACTTTTACCTGTTCCCATGTTCTAGTGGGTCCTGTTGTGGCTCTAATGTGAAAGGGGATATAATATAACATATTATAATATAATAAAGTAATATAATATTGGATAATATAGTGTATATAATAAATCTACCCTACCGCCTACTGGTGTTGGCCAGAGGGGCCGATGGCGCGATATGGCAGCCTGGCTTCTGTCAGTCTGCCCCAGGGCAGCTGTGGCTACAACCGTAGCTGCCTCCACCAGTGTGTGAATGTGAGAGTGACTGAATAGTGGCATTGTAAAGCGCTTTGGGTGCCTTGAAAAGCGCTATATCAATCCATCCATTATTATTGTTTTATTAAATTACTTACGAGTTTAATTTGTCAGCAACTTTCTGCCAGCCCTCTCTCCTTGCTTTTGCAGCCTTTGCAGTGTTCCCTTGCGTTTTAATTAAACTCTGAAACTCCTGAAATCCCTCACTCAAGAGTTCTTGCTCTGCTGCCGAAAAATACCGAGCCGAGCGCGCTCCGTCGACATTTTCGCCGACCAATCAGAGGGTTGCCGATCAATGTTTCTACTATCGATGCGTAGCCCCTTTTACGACACCCAGTGATGTCACATTACTGCGTCCAGCTGTACTAATCGTCAACAGCAGGTGTGTTCGGGGAACCGGATTAGCGCGCTCACGGTTAGCGCGATGGTTTGGTCTTGGATGTTTCATTTGATCTTGGATGTAGTGAGCGATGTACGAAGCACAGGGCCCAGGAGGGCAACAGATAAGAACTAAAACTGGCTTCTTAAACATGGTTGATAAATAATCTGGATTGAAAAATTGCAGCCACTCCTCCTCAGCCTGTGCTTTTTTTATTCTAGGGTCTACCTTAGAATATAAATTGCCTTGAGGTGACTGTTTTTGTGGTTTGGCTCTGTATAAATAAAATCTAATTGAACTGGACTAAATTTGAGGATTCTGAAAGTTAGTTGAACTCAGTATACTGATTTATCCAAACTAACTTTTCATCATACCATAACCAGGTTTCTGTAAGGCAGAAAAAATCAATATGTTGAACAATTATTAAATCATTTACTCACAGTAACTTAGAGAGATCTAATGTTTAATAGTCCACATTTAATTGTTTTAGTTTTTGAAGCAGTTTAGGGTGTTATATTATTATTATGCTCATTTTTGGTTTGTTTGATGATGATCTGGGAGCAGACAGTCTCTGTGGGGATAAAATAAAGAGAGAAACTTCAGAGAGGTGTGTGAGACTGCAACTCTCTTTCCTGGTACCAAATCAGGATGATCACTTTGTTATTAATTTGACCAAATGATGAAATGATGTGATAGAAATGATGTCTTTTATATCTAAAGTAGGATGAATGCCAGCTTTCCCCACAAGACCAGTTTTTCCACAGAAAGTTTCACAATTCTCTATGAAACCCATGTCTATTATTTTTTTCACAACGGACTAGGTTGGTGTGCATAATATTGTTTGAATAATAGGTCAGTGTAATATTAAAACTAAAGTGATCATTTAAAATCACTTTATATTTAAAGTATGACAAATATGCAATTAAAAAAATAAAATAGGAAGGGGCCAAACACCTTTTCACGCTCTGACCAAACATGAGTGTAAAAGTGAAAGTGAAAGAAAGACAGATACTAAGTACTCATTTGATTGAGAGAAGGTAAAAACATTATATTAACGTGTTTTATTCCCGATTCAGTTTGGAGAGCTGCAGTTTGTCAGCAATCAGCCATGTTGCTCTATTCTCTGCTCTGAAATTAAACCCCTACCATCTGAAAGATCTGGACCTGAGCTACAACAACAACCTGGATGATTCAGGACTGAAACAGCTGTGTTGTTTTCTGGAAAGTCCACACTGTAGACTGGAGTCTCTGAGGTTAGGTCATTTACTCTCTGTTACTATTATAAATTTCATTATTAATTCATTTCCATTGTGTAGCATCCATTTAAAAATCAACGTTTTATTGGAATATAAATTGGTCTGTGGTCACTAAAGACTAGTGTTGGGCACAGATATTAAAATGAGTAGCCACTGTTAGTTATTAAATTAAATAAATGTTTCATATGCCTGCTAAACAGTCACATCCGTATACAGAAGATTCCCTGAACTTCAAATTACCAACCTTTCCACATCTAATTTGTTTAATATTGTTTTATTCGTTACTTAGATTGGAGCTCAGCGGTTTGTCACCGAAAAGCAGTGTTGCTCTGGTCTCAGCTCTGAAGTCTAACCCCTCCCATTTGAAAAAATTGGACCTGGCCTTTAATGACCTGCAGGATTTAGGTGTGAAACAACTATATGGTTTTCTGGAGAGTTCAAACTGTAGACTGGACACTCTGAGGTCAGTTAACCTATTCTGTGACTACTGATAAACCTAAATTTGATAGACTTCCATGAGTTCCATGTATAAATGACCAAAATATATGTTATCTGCATGTTTTATTCTCTATTTAGATTGGAGCTCTGCAGTTTTTCAGAGATTGGCTGTGCTTCTCTGGTTTCTGCTCTTAAGTCCAATCCCTCCCATCTGAAACATCTGGACTTGGGTGGAAACGCGATTCAGGATTCAGGAGTGAAGCAGCTGTGTGGTTTTCTGGAGATTCCTCTATGTAGATTGGAGACTCTGATGTCAGTTTGCTTACTGTCTGCTATCACAAAATCTTATAATTTATGTGTATAGTATAGTTAATTTCCTCCTTCAAAACTGAAAAAAATGATAATGATTAATGAATAAGAAATTCTTGCTGATGAGGGAAAGTATGGTTTATTTGCAAATGTAAAAACTGTCCATATGTGGCTGAATTGTATCTGATTTTATCCACATTTTTTTCTTTGTTCAGTCTGTGGTGCTGCAGTTTGTCAGAGATCAGCTGTGCTACTCTGGTCTCTGCTTTAAGGGCCAACCCCTCCAATCTGAAATATCTGGACTTGGGTGTAAATAAGCTGCAGGATTCAGGAGTGAAGCATCTCTGTGGTTTTTTGGAGATTCCTCTCTGCAGACTGGAGACTCTGAGGTCGGTTCACTTTCTGTAATTCTGTAATACATAATTACATTATGGATACACAGAGATACAAAGAAAATCAGAAATTAGGGATTGCTCATTTAATAAGGACAAATAATGTTTAGCTAAATCAGAATCGTTGGAATCTTTTTTTATATTGTCATTATGCAAAAAACACACTGATATTATATGCTGTTCTATTCAATGCAGAGTAAAATAAGGAAAGCAAAGAAAGCAATCTATTCATAACAATACAGAAATAGAAAATAAAAGTTTCTAATAAATAAATACAGTATAAGCATGATTAAATATGTACATATTTAACCTCCTAAGACCTGAAATCTTCCATGGTGTGCATTTTTGATTTCTCTCTTTGATTTCTCTTTTGTTTCTAAGAAAAATGAGCGCCACATATGAGGATATTCGTTTTAAATTTCGATAGAACAGTAGCAGTATAATGTCCTCGTAAGTGGATATCAGTTCCTTGTAAAGCAAAATTAAGTATTTTGGTCTTAATAACCCAAAATGTGATGTCCACATATGTGGACGCCAGGTCCTAGGAGGTTAATATGTACATATTAACATATGTAGATATGTGTGTGTGCTTGATTATTGATTGCACAAGTTTGAGAAGTGGACATACAACCCTAACAACATACAACTGATAGAGTTGTTTCGGTGGGTGCGAGTGCAATTATGGGTGTAGCGTATACAGTAGGGGACTTAGCACACATCCCTGTTTTAAGTTGACATTGAGGCTGAGTGTTGGGGAGAGGTGAGACCCTACTGTGACTCTCTGTGGGTGAGTTTTTGAGAAAGCCACTAATGCAGAGGCAAATGAAGTGTGGGAGGCTAACGTTGATAAGTTTTGTTATCAGTCTCTTAAGGATGATTTTGTTGAATGCCAAGCTGACGTTGATGAAAAGAAGCCTGCCATAAATGTCCTTGTATTCCAGATGGGTCAGGGTCCTGTTTAGAGCTGTGGCTATGGCATCGTCTGTTGATCTCTTATCCCTGCATGCAAACTGGTGTTGTCGAATATGGGTGGAAGTCCTTGGATGATATAACTTTTGGCCAGTTTCTCAAAAGAAGTGGTTCATGTTCTGAACTTGAGTGACAACAACCTGAAGCACAGCGTCACTATCAACAGCATTGGGTCTGGGTTTGTAGCTAATAAGTCAGCCACAGCCGACTCAAGTTGTTGCTGTGGAGGTAGTCCTCAGTTTTATTATTATAATCCAGCCTGGCCTGTCTGATGCCCTTTTTTTGATTTACTCTGGCTGAACTGTACAGTTCCACATGACCAGACTTGAAGGCAGTGTTTCTGTTCCTCAGCAGGGTCCTAACTGCACTTGCCATCCAAACCTTTGGTTGGCATATACCCAGATGCCGTGGTGATGGTGTCTGTGCAGTACTAGATATAGCAGAGTACAGATGTGGTGTACTCCTTCTGGTAGGCAGGCTGGTAACATAAACAAGGATATTTGGTCCAACTAGCACAGGTGGGGTGTTGTTATGGTGCTGTATCCTTGTTTAATGTTGGAGTAGACTTTATTCAGTAGCTTTTCCCACGTGCAGTACAGTTTACATACTGACAAAAATTGGGGAAGTAACCTGAACACATTTGATATAATTTATCACTGATTATATGTAGATGTTTTATTGTTTATCCAGCCTGAGGAGCTGCAATTTGTCAGTGATCAGCTGTGCTGCACTGGTTTCTGCTCTGAGGTCCAGTCCTTCACATCTAAGAATTCTGAACCTGAGTGACAACAACCTGCAGGATTCAGACGTTAAGCAACTCTCTAAACTTGTGAGGAGTCTACACTATAAACTGGTTACCCCAAGGTCAGTAAAGGTTGATAGGTATTGTACTAAACACAGTTATTATGAAAGGTCAACACATATATAATCAAAATTTTCTTGTAAATCTGTATCATCCAAGTGTTGGCTTTGAATTAAATTAGTTATTAACTAACTAATTAATTATTTTACTTTTTTCCTTTATTTGGCTTTTATTTATATCTTGTGTAAATGTTATTATTTAGTTCCAATCTATAGCACTTTGCATCAGCTATGTTTGTTTTAAGGTTCTTTATAAATAAAAATGATGATGATGATGGCTTGACATTAAATATCTCCCTCTGCCGGTTTTGCAGCCTACTGCAGCTTTTGTTGTGAGCATGTGTTTGAGTTGTTGTAAAGATGATTGCTTTTGTTATGTTCAAGTCTAAGGATATAAACTTGGATTCTAGCTGACAGTCTTATAAGATTTAAAGAAACAGGTTCTCATTCATCAGACTGTGGGAGCATAAAACTGCGGACTGTTGTTCAGAGAACCACTGTTACATTTGATAATCTAGTATCTGCATCTAGTCTTCATACAGAGCAGAAGTTCTTTTGAAGTTCAGAGTTGCATTTGCATTTTTTCCCCGTCAGTGACTTCATCTAGATATATTCAGTGAGAGCCTGCATGTTTATTTATTAGCTGATGAGATGTTCATTAATCCACAGAAACTCTTTGTTTCATTTAAACAGCAAGAATCTCATCATTAAAGTGCAATGAAGTATTAAAGACTCTCATCGGTTCATTTCCACTGTGAATTTGAGTGAAACAAACTTGATGCAGAAATTCTGTGTGAAGTTCAATATATTCACTCCAAAATCTTAACATGAGAGCTGAGAGGACAGGGGTTACACCGCACATTTGCTCCTCTGCTGCATGTTTTACTGGGGGTGCTTCATCAAGAAAGCGAATAAACTGAGTTTCAGTAAACAAAATATTAATCTCCGTTTCTTCTCTTATTTACAGCTGGGAATGATGATCTTGGCAATGGTGACAGTGTATGTGAGTGGATGAGCTGTGTCCTGATCATCCCGAGAGACTGAAGCAGCAGCAACGTGTGCGTTACTGGGAGGTGAAATGGAGAGTTAAGCTTCATCCAAAGAGAAGAAGTCTAGATGACTGTTAGTGCTGGAGTGTGACCTCTTCTAAGAGTATGCTAAGTGTATTCTTCTAACAGCTGCACTGAAGAAAAAACACATCAAGGGGGAAAGGGACACAGTTATTATTAAGAGGGAAAGGGACACAGTTATTATTATTATTATTATTATTAGTAGTAGTAGTAGTAGTAGTAGTAGTAGTAGTAGTAGTATTATAACAACCAATGATCAATTTTACAAATATAAGTATAAATGAAAAAATATTAATACTGATGCTTTTAATGAAGGACAATGTAAATACTGGTGTAAGTATATACTCATATAATTAGATATTATTCTTTTTATTTAGTTTTTTTTTCAAATAAGTACTTTCAGTTTAACTTCATTTTAAATGTTATTCAGCTTTTGCTTTATGTTCTGTGCGATAAATAAATCTATCATGATACTACAACACTTCAAACCACAACAATGTGTTGGTTATTTTAACATAGGCAGATAGATTTTAAAACAATTAAGAGTTTATTGTATTATATGTCTTCACTAACGGACAGCTTAAATGGCATTCTGACACAATCATTTTCATCCATGGTGGCGGAAGCTACCCCTTCAGTAGCTCCTGCTTGCATTATATTCTTTATTGTCATTACCTGATGGAACATAAAGATGTTAATAATTCAATTTAATTCAATTTTATTTGATTTATACAGTGCCGAACTACAACAACAGTCGCCTCAAGGTGCTTTATATTGTAACATAGACCCTACAATAATACATACGGAGAAAGACCCAATAACCATATGATCCCCTGTGAGCAAGCATTTTGGCAACAGTGGGAAGGAAACACTTTCTTATAACATGAAGAAGCCTCCAGAAGAACCAGTCTCAGGGTGGGGCTTCCATCTGCCTCAACTGGTTAGGGCGAGAGGAGGAAGACAGGATAAAAGAAAGGAAGAGAGCCAGAGATTGATAACAACTATGATTCAATGCAGAGAGGTTTGTTTTGTACTTTTAGTCTTCCATTTCTTTGGAAAGCTGGTTCTATATACTTTGTTTAAAAAAAATAACAAATCAATGATTTCAATGGGAAAAAAATCATCCAGGGTATCTGCACTGGTGTTGACTGGGTAATGTCTTAGGAACAAAAGGATGTATGAAGATCAACCGTCAGTGGGCTGAATTTCAAAAAGACCCCTGAAATCAAAGTGATGTAACAAAATGATGCCTGATAATGTCAGGGCATGCTTCTAGTCAGATGATGTATAGTGCTGTAAGGATCTTCTCCCAAGCTGGACCAGGGAATCACTGAGCTCCTTGACAGACTGAGGTGCAGCCTGGTGCCATCGGATGGATTGAAACATAACGTCCCAGAGGAGTTCTATTGGATGTAGGTCAGGTGAGGGAGCAGTCAGTGGTAGGGATGGGTACTGGTATCCGGTGCCATTATGGCATTTTTTGCTGAGATGTCATACACTTTGGATTCTAGCCAATCATTTTACCTTTGCAAGGATAGTTGGCGAGCCCAGGTATGTATGTTCTTTTAGAGCAGAGCTACAAATTAAAAATGCCCAAGGCGAAGCAGTCAAAAGTCTGGCTGTACTTCACAGCAAAAGATGCAAACTCAGCAGCCTGCAACAAGTGCTTTAAGGTGATACTGTGATACTGTGCAAAGGAGGTAACACCTCGAATCTGATGACGAACCTGGCGACGTATAGCGTTTTATTAAAAGCCGAGAAATGCACCGTATTTGATAGCTTGCTGCGAGACCTCACACCAACACATCTACTGCGGGTGTGGTGCCTGTTATCGGACCCGGAGTTAGCAACATCCCCCGAGAACTCGAAGAGGAGAGTCCTGGCCCCTAGCCCTGCCAGTTTAGTAGAAATGATGATGAATGATGATGGTAGCATCATCGAGTAGCTTAATGTTGTTCGTGTGTAATTTACGTTGAGTAGGCTAACCACATTATTAAATTAATGCATGTAAGGTGAACTAGCAAACACTGTTGTAGTTACATGTGGCTGTCTTCTTGTTTGATGGCAGATACTCCCTTCACCCTGGCCAAAAAGGCTAAAATGACCAAAGAAAACGGGGAAACAGCTAAACATGAGAGGTTTTTGGACAAAGTTTGTGTTTTTTCCATTGTTTAAGCACTGCTTCCAGCCAAGAACGATACCATACATGCCCTATATCTGCAGGAAAGGCTAACATTGTTATCTTTTTTAAAAAAAAACAGCTAAACATGAGAGGCTTTTGGACAAAGTTTGTGTTTTCCATTCTTTAAGCACCGGTTCGAGCACCGTTTAAGCACCGGCACCATTTCAAAAATACCGGTTTGGCACCGGTGTCAGATAAAACCTACACGATACCCATCCCTAGTCAGTGATATCAATTCCTTCATCCGCCATGAACTGTAACTGTCTTTTACAGGCTGCCACAAGGCCAGGAATTGTTGTGCACCAGGGGGAACTCGGGACCTACTACATGAGAGTAGAATGTAAAAATAGGTCCATCCTGATACCTAACAGTAGAGTCCTGTTGCCTAGTCTGTAGGGTGTCTGTGTGTGGCTCCATGGATATGACTCCTATGACCGCTGGGTGGCCAGTGTTGGACCTTTCAAATCTGGTATTCTATCTCAAATGCTACTTGGGCTCCAGAGTGAGCACTGTGCCCAGTCTACACTGCTTGTTATGAAGTTTGTATCTGATTTGGAAGTCATATTCTTGCTCTTGCAGTGCTCATACCATTCTTCCTTGCACAAAGGAGTAGATACCATCCTGCTGATGGTCTAAGGGCCTTCTACAACCCTATCCAGCTCTCCTAGACCAACTGCCTGTCACCTGGAATCTCCTCTAAGCTCTTGAGACTGTGCTGAGACACAGCAAACCTTCTGGCAATGGCAAGTATTGTTGATGTGCCATCTTGGAGGAGTTGGACTACTTATACTGTATAAACTCCAGGTATCATCTCATAACCCCAGCAGTGACATTGAGCCTAACCAAATGCAAAACTAGTAAAAACAAAAAGCAGTCAGAAAAGATGAGGAGGAAAAAAGACTCAGTGGCCTCCGCCTGTAAAACCATTCCTGTTCTGGTGGTTGTCTCACTGTTGTCTCTCTATTGCACCAAAGCAGCTTAAACAGATTGTTACGGACGTACCGCCCACGGGACATTGGATGGTTTAGGGGACTAATAGGACTGCTAAGGGGTTAAACAGATTGTTACGGCCCTAGCAGGGCCTCTCTCTCTCCTGAGGGTGCCTGTGTGGGCGTGTCCCACTACCTCCTGCCTGAGGTGCCACCTTTCCCTCCTGTACAGCTGACTCCCATCAGCAATTAAAGGTATTTAAGCCCAGAGCAGGGTGAGCTCTGGGCCAGAGTGCCATTTGTGTGGGTACAGCTAGTGAGCTGAGTGTTTGTGGTGTTTCCAGCTAGTGAGCTGTGTTTTGTGGTTTCCAGCTGGTGAGCTGCGTTTTCCTTTTGACTTTTTGGCATTACTGACCAACGCCTGAGTTTTGTTTGTGTTACTTTTATGGTGATAGCGGCTTGTCCGTCTCTTTTAGTTGAATTACTTCAATAAAACTGTTTCATTTTACTGTTTCGCCTCCTTGACTCCTTTTTCTGACCCGGTCACTTTTGTTACTCCCCCCTCACCGCCTAGACTCCCCCAGGGGAACGTAACAAGATTTAAAAAACCCTCTACTACCTAACCAACCAGGTCAATAATCCACAAGTTTAATTGGCTCAATGCTGAACTCTGATTAAAAAGTGTCCCCATTTTCTTTGAGCCCTGTATATAAAAGGAGAGGCTTCCAGTTGGATAAAATAGTAAATGTCTGTTTGTGGTAATGTTCTTTATAAAGAAATGTTTCCATGTGGAATTAACATTTTACTTTCAAACTTTTTTCCTTGAGGGTTTTAGTCACTGAAGATGATTAGAAACAAGTTCAGATTTAAGAATTAAATTTTACAAAGCACACCACCCACATATTGACTTGCTGCAAAATGTCCATCGCTGCCATCTTCAGGTTGCAGCTTGAAATGCCAAACACAGATGATGCAGGCTATCAGGCGAGTAGGAGAGAACTCATGCATACTGGAAATAATAATAATAATAATAATAATAATAATAATAATAATAATAATCACTCTTCAAATATTGAAAAAAAAGCTGTTTTTAGCATCTGCCTCCTTATTTAGAGGTATGTTTGTGCCCCAGTAGTCTTTCAGTACAGCTGATGGTGTTACTGGCACTGATTTTGCAAACATCACATAAATACCACAAGTGGAGAACGTTTTCAAACATCTGCTGAAATACAGAGAAAAGAAACTTACACCTAGCGCATACCGTTAAATGAAAGTAAAAATATTATAGTCTGTTAGAGACTTATTAATGTGTCACAAGCAGAGATGGGCAGTAACCCGTTACTGTTTTAAAGTAACGAGTAAAGTAAGGGATTACTCTCGCAAAAACAGTAATTAGATTACTGTTACTTTCCTGTAGGAACGCTGCATTACTGCGTTACTAAAACCGTGATTTTTTTGCGAGAATGTCTCATGACAATGACGTAAGCGAGTGCGACGTTCGTGACAACAGCTGTGTGCAGATCAACAATGGATAATATATCGAGTACGGGAGAGAGTATGAGCATGCAGCGTTTAAAGCGTGGAAGTACTGACCTTACTTTGAGTTTGATTCCGTAAAAAGTGACAAAAACATTAGTGTCCGTTGTGCGTGGGAAGAAAACTTCTTTTTACAGCGAAAAAAACCCTAAACTTCAAAGCAAGCACCGAGTGCGCTACCACGTAATGGGAAATTCACAGAGAAACTCGCGGATTCTTCCACTGATGGCTGCGGCACACCTGCACCAGGGTAAACCTCCGCCTACCCGAGTCCTGCTTTACAGGTGAAAATAGAACAAAAGGACCGCTAGTCTTTGACTTTATTTATTTTCTGCTGTGTTTTACTTGCATCTATTTGAAAGACTGAGTGTAAACACAAAAAATATTTTATTTTTTGTGCTGGAATGTGCAGAAAATAGGTTTAAATGTTAAACTAATTTCTTCAAGTCAGAGAATGGTGCATATAATTTAATTTTTACTTGATGCATAAAGTTAAAAGATTAAAACTGATAAAACAAGTTAAAAAAAGGAGACTTTTCCATTTGATTACATTTTGTATGATGGATTATGTAGAAAAAGTAGAATTGGGCTGAAAGATCTATCGCTTTATCACCTCTTCAGGTTGTAAATTGTGTTTTTAAAAAGTAACTAAGTAACTAAGTAATTAATTACTTTTGAAAATAAGTAATCAGTAAAGTAACAGGATTACTTTTTGGGGGAAGTAATCAGTAATTAGTTTCTGATTACTTTTTTCAGGTAACTTGACCAACACTGGTCACAAGTTCCATTAAATAGTTGTGAGACAAGACAAATAAGCCACTGTTTAAATATGCTCCTGTAATAACATTTGCCTACCCCAAAAAATGTAGTTTTACAACCAATCAGAATTAATATGGAGCAGATCCACGAGAGCCGTTACAACCTCTGTTACTGTGATTGTTCTGAAAATGGTGGCAATTTGTCCAGAGGCATTTGCAAAACAGTCCTAAAGCAGTCCTCTGAATGGAGCTAAAAGACTAAAATAATTATTTATAACTGATTGTAGACCCAAAAACCCAGACTTTCTATTTTAGTTTTTGCAAATAGAGCGATTGCCAATTTATTTTTAAAAAATGTCTAAAACAGACTAACATCCTTTAGATTTTCCTCCAAAAAACAATGATTATGCCCATAAAAGACTGTCATTCTGCAAAAACACAAGTTTGCTGCTAAAGATTAATGATTAATGATGGCACCTGCTTTGTGCTAACTAGATACCAGAAGCATGTTTAAACAGTAACAGAAATTTCCATGTTGATATGGGAAGCAGCTGTAGTGGTTAAAGCTGATGCCATCAGGATGCTGCTGTTAGAAATTTGCTTCTGCTACTGAATACATGAAGGTATTTTGCTACAATGAAAAGTTTAAGTATCTATTGTTTTGATCCCCTTCCATCAAACACAAGATGAACATTTCAAGAAGGAAATGTTTTACACCATATACACCAAATTAGCATTTTCAGGCAACAGCTCGATAAAGCACCATGTGTTCATTCTGGACCATCTCATCAGCACCAGAAGCCCAGAGAGTGGAAGCGCATTAGTATCGTTGAGGTCAGGTGAGGGAAGGTTTAGGTTGGTATTTCACTCTGTCGTAATCGTCGACTGTAGTTTCAACTGGAGGCTTCTTCCAGTATTTCTCCAGACCCAAAGCAAGACACAGAGCAATGGCTGTTATCTGCAACACACACACACACACACACACACACACACACACACACACACACACACACACACACACACACACTGTGTATAATATTTTATACATCATTATTCATCACAGTAAAAATTGCACTGCAATTGCCTTGCAAAAGGGAAAAATCAGTGGTTGCCTGGTGACTTTTTCTTGTTGCACTTTTGGCTGTTTGAGACTGAAATCAAATTTCTGTGTAACACCCTGAATCTGAGCAAACGATTTTGATTGCAAGGCGATTGCACAGGTGGACCATTAGGGTCAACCTGTTTCCAAACAATCAATTTTGCAATGAAATCATAGAGTAAAAGCTTTTCTTGAAACTTCCAGTGTTTTAGAATGGATGGACACTATCAGAGAAACTCTTCCAGAAATTCTAGACAAGCACATATATAAACTAGACATTTCCAGAAATTAAAATTCATGTCTTGGGAACTTCTATGAACTTAAATTTCTCCTCTAATCCTTCTATACCCATATAAACCACGTTTATATGGGTATAGAACAACCATATAGCCTCTTTCTCAATCATGCAAACATATCTACAATCATCGTAACTTTTAGATTTTAGAATTTTTGCATTCATGCATTTGTTAATTTCTTCAAGCAGCTGGAGTTTGTTCTCTTTTCAAGATAAAAAAAAACTGAGTGTTTTTTTTCTTACTGCAATGGTGGCGAAAGCTGAAATGATTCCTATTCTGAGCTTGACTGGGAAACTCAGGTAGCTCTTTAGGATGGGACCACAGGGCTGCCAAAAATATAAAGGTGAAGAATCAACATGATTAAAAAAACGTCTGTTTTTGGCGTACATAAGTCAAATTTCCCTTTGCGTTTATTTGCTTCTGTTTGTCTTTATAACTAAACAACATTATAAAAGATTAACTGAACTAAAGAATAGAAAGATTAAACCAGACTGCCACTGGATCGAATATGTACAGTGGGAAGATGGAAAATGTAAATTTAAAAGTATAATAGAAAATAGTAAAATAGAACAAAACATAAGAAAAAAGGATAATCAGGAAAACTAGTAAAGGAGAGCAAGAAAAAAGAAAAAATAACCAGAGAAAGGGAGAAAACACTGGAGAATTGTAGAAAGAAAGATGCTGAGGAAATAGTAGAACTGTGTGAAAATTAATGATAGAAGAAGAAGAAGAAAACCCTGAAGCAAATATTTACCTTGGAGTGCACAAACTGCTGGTTACTTCCCACCATCACACAAGGCTCATATGAGCTGGAATTACCAGGCTGAGATCTGTGGGCAAAAACAGAAAGCCAAAATTTAAGAGCCAAGACAACCCATCCATCCATCTTCTTCCGCTGGGGCCGGGCCGCAGGGGGAGTGGTCACTACCCACAGCTCTTTACCATAGGTAAGGGTAGGGACGTTGATCGACAGCTAAATAATTTAAAAATGTATTAAACTTAAATATTCAGTTCATTTAAATTTTATTTATACAGTGGCAAATCACAACAACAGTTGCCTCTGTTGTTGTGACCCTATATTGTAGGGTGTACCCTACCTTATTCTGAAATACAGCTAAAAACTCAAGCAAATTACACATTTTCTAAACGTATGAAATAGAAATTATTTTAAAAAATTTGATAAAAAATGACTCTACAATTCAATATTCAGCTAATCTATCTAAAATCCAGTCTTAACATACCTTGACTCACTGGTATAGGTGGTTGTAGGAGGTGTGCAGATACAGGAAAAAGGAAGCTGATTATCCCAGTCTTCAAATTTCCTCAAACCACAACAGGAGTCCTTGAAAACACACAAATATTATCATCAGTTAAAGCTCAAGGTTATCATTAGTCTTGGTGTTGAATTACTCATTCAGGTCATATATGTCTATAAAATTAGGTCATAGTTGTTGCTATGACAACAGGACAACAGGAAAAACTAAAAAGTTATATCACTTTTTCATTTCTTTATCCTTATTTTTTTTTCTTTGTTTCACTTACCGACGTCTGAAGCTTATTTAATTCTTTCTGGATGTCAGCTGCTGCTTTGTGTAGGGGTGTCACATTGAGAAACAATTCATCCACGGCAAAGTCCATCTACAGTAAATAATATAAACGTTTGAAGAGTGATACACAAAAACAAACACAAGCAGAGTTTTAAGAGTAATTAACTTTCATCTGTATTACTTTCTTATTTAGTCAGTTTACAGCCCAAAGATAATGGTTTCATATTTCATAGTCATTGCATACCTCCAGGGGGCACTGGTGACAAGAAAGCAAGGACTGTATAAAAACACAGTAAGTGAAACGAACAGGTAGTTACCTGAGCTTGAACCTGAACCAGGGGTGAGGCAACAATCATTAGTGCCACAAACTCCACAAATGTCAGAGCAGAAAACTGGAAAAAAGATTACAGGTTAATGCCACTACTCTAGTGTGTGTGTTTGTACTTGTATGTGTACTTTTTAGGGGACCACTTTGGACCAATAACCTTTGTAGTGAGGACATTTTTGGAACACAGGGGCATTTGGGGGCCAGCCTCATTTAGGGACAGCAGCTTCAAACTTAGCTTTAGAATTTGGGTTAAAATTATGTTTTCGTATATATGCAATTAGGGATTAGGGGTTGGGAATAGTTGTATCAGCTAGGATCCTCACAAAGATGCTACATTTGAACTTTTGGAGTGAAGAGCCCACTCCTGAAGACCTTCTATGACTCTGTGGTGGCCTCAGCTATCTTTTATGGTGTGGTCTGCTGGGGCGGCAACATCTCTGCTGGGGACAGGAAGAGACTGAACAGGCTGATCAGAAGGGCCAGCTCTGTTCTAGGATGCGCTCTGGACTCAGTGGAAGTGGAGAGTGACAGGAGAATGGTGGCTAAGCTGTCATCCCTGTTGGACAACATCTCTCACCCCATGCAGGAGACTCTGACAGCACTGAGCAGCTCCTTCAGTGGCAGGCTGCAGCACCCACGGTGTGGGACGGAGAGATTTTGCAGGTCTTTCCTCACCACTGCTGTCAGACTCCACAACAAAGACTTCAACTGACCAAACACACACATCCACACATGTGCAATAGCAACAACACTAAGTGCATTACTCTTTTTCTGGCATCGTTGTATTATACTCAATTGTATATAGCATTTGTATTCTATTTTATTCGATTGCATATAGTATTTTATTTTATTCTATTTTATTGTGTACAGTATCTTATGGATATCTTATTCCAGTGTTTGTTCTCTATTTTTTCTATGCAACTTTGTACATAGAAAAAATGTACAAATTTATTTTATCTTATCTTATCTGCTTTACTGCTTTAACAAAACAAATTTCCCATGCGTAGGACTAATAAAGTTTATTTTATCTTATCTTATCTTATCTTATCTTATCTTATCTTATCTTATCTTATCTTATCTTATCTTATTTTAACAAACACATGTATGAATTTGTGTTACTCACCACCAACAGCAAAGATTTGTAGTCCAAAGAGGCAGCAGATATGCCCAGAACAGACAAAACCATTGTGAGTGGACCAAACACCTGCAGGACCAGTAAGCCATTACTAATGGACAGCTGGTCAAACAACTGAAAGAGAGAACGTCAGATAACAAATATATTTTATTCAACCTAAACAAAAGGAATAAATAACAAATATTTATAATAATAACTATTGAATATGCAGAACAGTATCTGAGACCATTTCTAATGAGGCAATGAAAAGGATCAGCAGAAATGGTAAATGGTATGGCCTGTATTTGTATAGCGCTTTACTTAGTCGCTAAGGACCCCAAAGTGTTTTACACGACATAGAGTCATTCACCCATTCACACACATTCACACACTTGTGCTGCAGTGTGGAGCAGAAGGTCCAGATGCATCTTTTAGATTTTGTGCCAGATCCTTGCAAGTCCTTTTCCTATTTAGGACATGACTTTGAGATACCATTCATCTGCTGTTGTTAGTCTTTAGGCCTGCCACTTCTTTTGTCCACTCCTTGTCCAGGTTCCTCAGATATCTTAAGGACACATAGCACACCATGTTGAGATATGCCAAGTTTTCAGCTGTTAGCTCTCTGGGAATCACCTTGTTGGTGCAAAAATACCATTTTATGTCTATTAAACTGTGCCATCTTTGGCATTTTTAGAGATTCAACAAAAGAAATAGGAAAAAGTGACATGTTTGTGACACACTTCTGGTAATGAAGTGCTTGAAGATGCTACTGAAAATTAATTTATTGGTGAAGTTGATTGTCACATAACACTGATTCATTGTTTGAGTTAGGTGCCTTTTTGTGCTTGAATTATTCTTAAGTTGGTTTTCTGTGGCTAAAAAAAGAAATCAATCCTCTAAAATTGTCAAGTATACTGGCTGGAAGGAAAGTGAGGATAAAGCAGCCAGTGTCCAAAGAAAACTTTGAAAGACCCTCAGAAATCCTGGAAAACTATATTAAAGACCACTCTAAAGACTTCAAGAAGGTCTGGCTACTTGGAAGCAAACTATAACCAAATGACGGGTGATGGGTACTATTTAGCAATAATATAAAAGATAAAATATGTAAAAATGAAAATGTATAAAATAACTACTAAATGCAGTGACTAATAACAGCACAGCAATACACAATTATATTATTATAATTATTATATATATTCAAATATGCCTTTATTTAACCATAGTCTGTTTTTAGCAAAAAATAGAAAGAACTTTGGAAGTCATACACGTTGATTTGTATGTATGTATGTATGTATGTATGTATGTATGTATGTATGTATGTATGTATGTATGTATGTATGTATGTATCTATCTATCTATCTATCTATCTATCTATCTATCTATCTATCTATCTATCTATCTATCTATCTATCTATCTATCTATCGATCTATCTTCTTCCTATCAGTGCTAGAGTCCAAGCTACATTACAAGTGGCAGGCTCACAGTTGCATTGTGGATAATGTATGCACCAGAATCTTACAAGAAAGTAGAAGTTGTGTTATAAAATGTCAACTGTGAGTCTGAGGAAATATAATGTGAAATTAGAGCTGTTTCACTACGTAGTTGATTCTTGTATAAAAAAGTGTGGTCAAAAAAATCCCATTTTACCTCTGCAACAGGTATATCATCAATGGGGGAAAAAGCAGCACCAATCATCACAAACCCAGACACCTGCATAATAAAAATGGATAAAGAATAAAAATAGTAAAAGGCAATGACTCAAACTGGTTTACACAAAAGTGGCTGTTGGTTGGGTTCACAGATCAGGAAGTCTTTAACAGCAGAAACATTCCTGTGAAATGCCTTCTCTTCCCCAGAGAGACTGGGAACTCTGACAGCTTTATATCACAAATGTAATCTGTCTCACAGTCAGCAAGTTGAAACTTTCCAAAACAGTCCAACTACACCTTAAACACTCATGGTTGTCTCATTCTTTGACTTCCACATTCCCAGCCTCTGTTGGCTTACTTAGTGAATATTCTCTCTGCAACTTGTCTTACGCAGTTTAAATGAACAGAACAAAACAATAAAAACACTCACACATTTATTTCTATTATTTCTAGATGTTGTTTAAACTTAGTGGAGCACCAAGTAAGCTCCTGAGTTTGAGCCCCAGCATTCACAACCACAGAGATGCAAAATGTATATATGTATATACCAACACCAACACACACAACACACTATAGATATATATATATATATATATATATTACTATATATTATTTATAGTATATATATATATATATTATATATAATGTATTGTGATGGTGTATTAAATATATATACACATATAGATTAACACACATATATAATATATATAATTATATATTATTATATATTATATATATGCACTTAACGAAGCAGGAAACAGGAAAGAAATTCCCATGTTGGAGTGTTTGTGAAATAATCTCTATTTATTGCAAACTGGCAACAAAAGCTGCTGTAATCATACCACAGATTGTCATTTTAGGCATTAAATTTGATTGCAGGTGTTGAAGAGAAGTTGGGAAGTACAACAGGAGGAATAAAAAAGCAGATAAAATCATTGACTCAAGGCAAAGGGGGGAAACACGATGGCAATATATGAAGAACAAATGAGTGAATAAACAACAGTAAATTAAGGAAAAGAGATTTTATATTGCAAGTTTAGTGCTTTTTCCTGTGCTGCCATGGTTAGTGGCTCTGTGCTATCTTTCAGTCCAGCTTTGTTTAACCACCAGTTGGATTTCTTGATATCAGCCACTTCTTCTATCTCCTGGTGGTACATACCATGCAGGGGCTTGTCCTGATGGTTCCTCTTCTTGCTCCTCTCCTTTCTCTGGTTTCTGCTGCCTGAGGTATTCACTAAGCACACTATCAGTTGTGAGGCCATCTTCCTGATGTACTCATGGATCTTTGTTGTTTCGTCCTAGACCGTGGTTATGACACTCCCTAGTCCCCTGCCTCCTTCCTTCCTCTTATGAACTTAAAAAGTGAAGGTTCTAAAAGACCTCCACATTATTTTAGTGTTTTAGTGTAGTGAAGAGAGATTTATTCGTAAAAAGATTAAATCAAGACTAAATGTTTACTTTAAATAAAAGAAAATCTTTTTGAGTACCACACAGTGCAAGATTGTGGCAACATAACACAGCACCTAAAATATTTTAATGTTTAGATAAGTATTAAGAATACATGAAAACAAATACTTCACCCAAAAAAAACAAGAAAAAAAGTTGATTCTATGCTGTTTTCTCTCGTTTTAAATATAGGGCTGCTTTAATTTTTATGTATTATGTGTTTTATTTTTATTGTTTTGTTTTATTTTATTGTTCTTAACATATTTAATGTACAGCACTTTGGTCCTGTGCTGGGTATTTTAAAGTGCTTTATAAATAAAGATTGATTGGATTTAAACGCAACATATAATAGTTGCCAAAAATTAGACAAATATAATCTTGCACCTGCTACCAGAAAACAGTTGCTAGTTATTTCCACAATTATCACAAATATGTATTTAAACCCAAAATGAAACTAAATTTTGTACGTGCTCAACGCAAAATAATTACATGTCTACAAAATTATAAGTAAAAGAAAAAAAGTTAAAAACAAACACACTGTTTCTGCTTTTCACCTTCTGTTTACAAGACTGTAGTTACATTGAAATTCATTAATTAGCACATGTAATCAACACCTGAATGACACACTGTGTATTTCAAAAATAATAGATTAAGATTTTAGACAATTAGAATTTTTTAAGATTACCTTTTTAAATTTTTCATTTTTTTAAAGATCCAATCACCTCCGACAGCCCACACAAACATGCAGTTAACAATTAGCAGTGTGCTTACCAGTAGCAACACAGTGACACAGATAGCAAGTCCTCGCAAGTAGCTCCTGCAGCGAGCCATGGCTGCTGTCTGAGCGAGTCCAGTTAAAATAGAAACAGAGTAAAGTCCAGAGCCCACTCCTGTGTGATGGATGTTGTTTAAAGCTCCGTGTTTGGCGGCAGAACGAATAACATGACCAAGTTTGGAAGATTGGCTGAGAGGAAAAGAGAGAAGGGGAGAAGAGGAGAGGAGAGGTTATTCCAGGTAACAATAACAACTAATTAAGCATGGAGGGTGATTGAAATAGAGATATGAATGTCAGTAAGAAAACAGGAAGGTAAATGACAAAGAAGTATGAAAAAGAAAGTGAAAGTGACAGGAGGAAAGGGAGGAAAATAAGTAACAAGTGTGATGAAAGGACACAGGGAAGACAAATAGCATTTCTAATGTGAAAACATGTTTATTTTTACACCATAAACAAACACAGCAGCAACAGCCCAACTTCATTGTTGCATGGCAACTGCAGACCCAACAATCCTGCTCCACAACTCCTTCCTTCACCTTTTCCTTCTGTCCTTTCAGCACTGTTCAGAACAGCATGTGATGGGCCAAAAGCATCTCAACTGAGCATAAATCATCGTTCTACCTGGAGAGGTGAGCTGCAAACTTAAATTTCTTGCAATTATCTTTACCCAGAAGAAGAAGAAGAAGAAGAAGAAGAAGTATCCTTTATTGTCATTATGTGTTCACACATAACAAACTCTCAGCACACACCAGAAGGTTGTTATATTAGTGGATCAGTTTGTGTGTGTCTTTAAGAAATACTGTTATGGGCCATTGCACATACGACTTCCAAAAGTGATTATCTTTTTGAACTGATTTAGACCACTGCTTCCAGGATTTTTTTTGGAAGGATGTTTTAGCCGAAGTTAAATTGGACATTTTCCATTATTTTTTACCTATGTTTTGATACCAGGAACATCTTCTAGCTGTGATTGATGCAGTTTTGCTATGGAAAACTGGATTCCATGATCTTGATGCACAAAGTCAGCTACAATAAGATGTTAATTTGGCTTCAGTTTGATTTGTATATTTGTGATCGAGTTATTTTCTTGGACTTATCAAAATAATATTTCAATTTCATATCAGTGTTATTGTGTAGTAAGTGCTGTACCAGGACAGGAGTAAAATAGACTGGAATCCAGCAGAGTCATTAAACTGGGTGCTGTGTTGACTTTAGGTTAAAAATAGCTGCAGGGGATGGACCAGCAGAGTGTGTTTATGGCCAAACTTATGTGTGTTAGAGAAACAGTCATAAACAGTGTCCCTGGTTGTTTCCCAGCAGACATTTACAGATTTGGGCAGAAATATAAAAATATCTCTGGAATCAGCCACATTAGCCAAAACAGTGGTAATGACGTGTGCAGTGTAAACATCCATTGAGGCTGTGAGATACCAGACGTAACTCTTGTTCTATGAGTAATTAATACCATAAGGCTTGGCTGCTTTGTTATTCTGACTGTTCCAAGCTGTTTCTGCAACATCTTCCTGATTGTTTTTGCTGAACGCAGGTGGTTTTCTTTCTGAGGAATTTAAATTTTATGCAGAAGAGGGAGGGGCCAGGTTTAGTTTCCAACTTTCACGCCATCACACAGTTTGGCTTTGACTCACGAAGAACAGTGGTGTTGCTTGTCCTGTCATTTGTGTTTGGTAGTCAGCTTTAATTATGGATGTCAAGAAATAGATAAAAACTTCACTGTCAACTTAAACACCCGAAGTACTCAGATTGAAAGTCTAAAGTGTAAAATGAATATTTAAAAAAAATTCCTTACTTTGTTATATTACATTACATATTTTGATTTTTATTTGTTTATTTTTAACAGGCACAGTGTAGATTAATAAACACTGTTATTTCTTTTCATCTGCAATCCCTCGCTAAATATCTAACCCGATGGTAGTTATACACTGAAACATACACATAACCGCACTGTATTAAGCATTAGTGAGATAATGGTGAATACTTCATTTATAAAGCATTATGCCTTATTATTATGTAATTTATAGATACAGATCTAAATGGTTTAGCCTTGATTAATAAACTCATATATAATGAGACTAATGATAGCATTTTTATATAACATCAATTACAGATTTGCCATTTCGACAAAGGACATTTCGACAAATCTGTGCAAAAATATGGATTCATTTTCATTTTCTGTCTGATAGTCACACTGTTATGATGTTCTGATGGCAAAAACAAAATTAAGTTCCCTTTTTGAACGTGGTCGGGTTGTTGAACTGCATAAGCAGGGTCTCTGGCAGCATGCCATCGCAGCTGAGGTGGAAAGCAGTAAGACAGTCATTTGGAATTTTTTAAATGGGTTATGGAACATAAGAATCAAGTGGAAGACAAAAAAGCTTCCACAGCACTGAGTCGGAGGATCCAGTTGGCTGTCTGTCAAGACTCTGGGCAATTCTTGACCCAAATTAAGATTGTTACTGGTGCTGACTGCAGCCCCATAACATCAGATGGCATCTGAGACTGAAGGGCTTCAAAAAAAAAAAACGCCAAAGGCCTTGTCTCCTTGAACACCACAGAACTGACCGTTTGGACTTTGCAAGAGAGCACCAAACATGGGACATTGAAAGGTGGAAGAAAGTTTTATTCTCTGATGAGAAAAAATGCAACCTTGATGGTCCTGATGGTTTCCAACATGGCAAGACAAGCAGATCCAACGTGAGATGTTTTCTACGCACCATCCTGCACGGGGGCGCCATAATGATCTGGGGTAATGGTGGTAAATTTGATTCTTTTTACTGAATTGAGTTTCAATGAGTCACTCACCAAAGTGAATCAGGTTCTTTTGAGTCATTTGAGTCACTGAGCCAGTTGCCCAGAGAGTGCAAAAAATGTACATTTTCACTCAAATTTAATTTATTTCTCTTTTCATGTATATCCTACTGCTAAGATGATTGAAAAAGAAAAACAACTATTTTTATAGAGTAAAAAAGAGCAAAAAAAAAAAAGATTTCTAAAGGGAACATTTATTTTATTTTATTTGTATTTTCCTCAAATGTGTCAAATATATATATATATTTTTAAATGTCCACTGAGCTGTGAGCCAGGGGGCAGTAATGCGCCTTAACATTGGTTGCCAACCAAGAAGAAGAAGGAGCTGTGAGCCAGGACAGACGTTGAGTGAGTCCTGAGTGATTCGTTTATGCTACGATTCATCACAGAAGGGATTGAGTGAGTGAGTAAGTGAGTTATTTGTTTATGCTACGATTTAGCTCAGGAAAGGAGGGTTTTTCTTCCAGTTCAGAGCAGAAATGTTTTTGTTAAGAAACTGGCTGTTGTTTTTTCCCCACAATTTTAATGGTAAGCTAGATATATTTCTAATAATAAAATTAGTCAGCAACAGGGATGAGTCAGTGAGTCAGTTGGGGTGTGAATCATGATTCACGAGTCAGTAAAGTGATTCTCGAGTACTGAGAATCACTTAACTTTTTATGATTCGCACATCACTAATCTGGGGTGCTTTTTCCTTCAGTGGAGCTTCAGGAGGTGCATGAGCGTTAAATGGTCCACTAGCATCATATATTTTGAAGGTTAACATTAGTTAAATTAGCTAGCATAAAGCCAGTGTGTCCAGCTCACTGGACTATATGTGATGTGTCCAGAGCTTCCAACAGACTCGAGCATCACCTCTGCTCTCTACAGTTAAGTTAAAGTAAAACCTTCACGGGTCTCCAGAAAACAGTAATGAGCTGAAGTAACATGAAAACAAAATTTTAACTCGTTATCTTTAAGTTATGTTAACATAATCCTACTGAAGATCTGCCTGAAAAGTAAGTTCCGTAATTTAAACAGTAACCAAATGCTGTATGAAGTTAATCCAATATTTAACTTTAAACTTCATCACCTAAAAAGGCACCCACAAACCCCATCCTTCCCGAGGTACGAGTTAAGTTATTTAGGGTGCCTAGTTCTGCTGGAGGTTTCTTCTTGATAGTACTTTAATTCGCAAAAAACACTTGCTCACAGGGCATCATATATTTGTCGGGATTTTCTATGTATTATTGTTATTACTTTACTAGGGATGGGAATTTAGATTAATTTAACGACTCTGATACCTTTTTACTGATATCACTTAAGGATTTGATTCCTTATCAGTTCTCTTATTGATTCTCATTGGGTTCTTGCCCGCTCCGCTTTCAGCATTACCACCACTACAAACCAGCATATCAAACATTACATTTGTGCAAATTAGCGCATGTTGGTCAAATTTTTGTGCATTTTGGATGCATTTCCTCAGTGTTGGGTCATTACTCAAAAAAGTAATGTAATAATAATAATATTAATGGATTGGATTTATATAGCGCTTTTCAAGGCACCCAAAGCGCTTCACAATACCACTATTCATTCACTCACACATTCACACACTGGTGGAGGCAGCTACAGTTGTAGCCACAGCTGCCCTGGGGCAAACTGACAGAAGCGAGGCTGCCATATCGCGCCATCGGCCCCTTTGGCCAACACCAGTAGGTGGTAGGGTAAAGTGTCTTGCCCAAGGACACAACGACCAGGACAGAGAGCCTAGGGATCGAACCGGTGACCTTCCGGTTACAGATATTACACAGAACACATTTATTAAAAGTAATGCACTACGCTATTTAATTACTCCAGGGAGTAAAATAGTTGAAAGTGTTAGTTAGCAGAATAATGCCATTGTTTCTGTCATTGGATGCAGTTCAACATTATGCTCTTGTCCTTTTGTGCAATAAAAATAAAAGTAATGACCTGCATTTGTATAGCGCTTTTCTAGTCCCTAAGGACCCCAAAGCGCTTCACACTACATTCAGTCATTCACACATTCACACACTGGCGATGGCAAGCTACATTGTAGCCACAGCTGCCCTGGGGCGCACTGACAGAGGCGAGGCTGCCGGACACTGGCGCCACCGGGCCCTCTGACCACCACCAGTAGGCAAACACGGGGTTAGTATCTTGCCCAAGGATATTTGGCATGCAGCCAGGAGGCAGGCTGGGATCGAACCACCGACCTTCTGATTAGTGGCTGACCTGCTCTGCCACCTGAGCTACAGCCACCCGCTACAGCTATAAACTATCCTGCTATTTTCCTCCCTCGATAACTGAAATCAGCTGAGAGCAGTGCAAGTACAAGAACCAATAAGCAGTACCGATAGGCAAACAGACTAACGATTCCAAGGACTTTGACTACTAGGAACGGTTCTCGTCGATTCCCATTCCTAGTCTTTAACTTACAACAAAGCACATTGAAGCGACTGCTGTTGTGATTTGCCACTATACAAGTATAGTGGCAAATCACTATACTTGCTAAGCTAAGCAGAGCTATCACATCATTTCACATGGAACATGCAGCTAAATAAACAAATGTCTCTATATACTGAGGTGTCAGAACTCATTGAAGGCACAGGGAAGGTTGTCAGATTTTGTCTTTATTGGGTAAATAGTTAAGGCATCAAGCTTTGGAAATGCATTCCACAACTTAATTTATTTTGGGTTTAAAAGTCCTGTTTCTGTCCATGTACAAAGGTAGATTTTGCTTTATCCGATTTCAGAATTATTGGGAGTAACCAGAATCTGTGTGATATCCACTTGGAATTCTAAATGTCATTTCTATTGTTACATTTTTTATAAATTGTGTTTATAAACACAAAAATGTGACAACTCCATAATGATATTAATAAAAATGGTTTAATATATTAGAATTTTCTTTCTCAGATCAAGTCCATCATTAACTCACTTTGATCTCCCCATCTGATAGTTGATTAGAGTGAGTAAAAGCAAAAACACATTAGGAAGGTTTCTGTTCCTTGCAATTATAATGAGAAGGAAGTGAAGGAAGGAAATGTGAGCAGTGTGTGGAAACAGGCCACTTCCTGTCACAGTAAAATGTTCTGCATTGCTTGAATACAATTAAAGCAAATCAGCTGGTACTACCATAAAACTCAAACTCATGACAAAAAGAAAAAATAAAACAAAAAACAAACAAACTTACCTTTGGTTAGAGTGTATATGGCCCATGAGAAGAACATTTATCTTCAATCTGAATTTCCCTTCTTGACTTGTTATTTATTTATTTTAAATTGTGTTTGACAGGTGATATAGTGATTAAAACCACTTTAAACAGCATCAGGAACAAAGCAGATTCATCCAGGCAAACACTGAGCATCCTCAGGCCTGAGGACATTAATCTTTGGTTGTTTTTTTTTTTTTTTTAAAAAAAAGAAGTTTCAATCACATTTTTTTTTGATGTTCATGCTTCCATGGGAAAACAAAACAAAAATAGTTTTTCTTAATTATGGGATACGTGAAAGTTTTATTTAGTTGGCTGAATTTATTTTTGTTTTGTTTTTTTAAACATCTTTCCTAAAATGGACTACAAAATAAATGAAGCACAACAAGCAAATGTTGGAACACTTGAGAAGCTTGATATTTGATATAAAAACAAACAAGACACCCCCCTCGCAAAAAGAAAAAAAAACAAACAAACAAAAAAACACAAACCTAAATCCCACCATACCTTATTACCCAGTGAAAGTTTTTAACAGGAGAAAGAAGAAACAACTTTTATATTAATAATAACCATGATTGAGTGCGAGATTTACTGAGAGGTATGTTCGAACAATTTCAACTTCCTGAGGATTGTCTTTGCAATAATTTAAAAAAAAAAAAAAAACAAAAAAAAAAACCCCACACAAGAATATAAATAATATGGAATCCAGTTACAACCAGAAATATGATTAGAAAAAACAAAAAACAAAAACTAAAATGAAAAATCCAGACTATACACTTACCTTTAATAAAAAAAATAAATAAAAAAAAATATAAACAAGATTGACATTTTCAAAAGTTTAATTAAAAAAAAAAAAAAAAAAAAAAAAAAAAAAAAAAAGGGAAACGTGACAAGCAAGCAAAAAGTCACTTTTAAGAGAACATGAGAAACTAATTTTTATTTTGTGCACCAACTTGGCTATTGACTGAATATTTTTGGCTTAAATTGGCTTCCGTACATTGTCAAATACACAATCAAATCATAACCAACATACTCATAACAGTTAAAGGCTAAATCAACACAATTGAATTATATTACAGTTATTTACTTTGCATTTACTGGGTAATTTTTAAAGCTGCCCGCTTCTCAGACACAAACTATTTTATTGTTTCAGGTAACATAATGCCTTTTACACAAAATACAGATTATATAGAGTGTATTTTTTGGTAACCATTGGGACTCCATACTAGTGTATAAGAGACTTTAATCTCAGTGTGCTTCTTCACAGTGAAAGCACAGGATGAGTTAGATTAGCAGAGGATATATTGCGGTTACATTTGGGCAGAGATGATGGTGCCTCAGGCGTTGGTGGTAGGTCCGTCCTTCTTGCTGATCTGACAGTAGAGAGCCATGGAGAAAGCCAAGCCAAAAATCTGCAGGAACAACAAATGACTCATTATTAAAACTTTAATAAAATAAGACAAAAGAAAATATAAAAATGGTAATTGTTAATCTTTGGGTCTCTTCCACATGGCGGGTCTTTTGCCCCATCCCCTTCCCCTCACCCCCAGCTGGTCGCAGCAGACAGCTGGCACTCCCTAAACCTGGTTCTACAAGAGGAATCAGGCACCCCCAGGCAACTGTTTTTGTGATTTGGCGCTATATAAATAAAATTGACTTAATGCCAATTAATTAATTAATCTGCTTTTTGCATGTTCTACAATTTTTCTATCAAGAGAAAAAAAAAAACTTATAAATTAGAGTATGACTTTTTATCTAGTGAACTCAAATGTCCCCTGAAGTGATGTGGTGACTGTATGTGTCAGCTCACCAGCAGGACGGCGATGCCGAAGGCAATTCCCAGCACTATCACCATATTCTCCTTCATCAGGTTGATGATTCGGGTGGAGCAGGGCTGCAGGGTGAGAGCAGAGCAGCATGGGTTATTATGGTTCATTTAACTGTGTCTCAGCGATGAGAGTAAAGTAAGAGTGTGGATTTCTTGTTCAGATATAAAGTGAAATCAGATTCCTGCTGGGATGCTCAATCCAGTGTTCAGCAGTCACAGCCTTACCGTGCTGTAGTAACCTTCTGAGCCACACTCAGCACCGGGGACAGGGGTGGGACTATTGGTGATGTTGCAGCGACAGGATTCTGGGAATGGATCTGGGGACCAGTCTGTCTTTCCGTTCACAAGACCACAACACTTGAACTGGGAAGAAAATACAAATAGGATTGGAACTAGTGTAATAGTTCTAGTAAAGCCCTTATTGCTGTTCAGCCTGTCACAATACAGTGGCTTTCCAAAGGTATTCGGCCCCCTTGAACTTTTCCACATTTTGTCACATTACAGCCACAAACAAGAATCAATTTATTGGAATTCCACGTGAAAGACCAACACAAAGTGGTGCACACGTGAGAAATGGAACAAAAATCATACATGATTCCAAACATTTTTTACAAATAAATAACTGAAAAGTGGGGTGTGCGTAATTATTCAGCCCCCTGAGTCAATACTTTGTAGAACCACCTTTTGCTGCAATTACAGCTGCCAGTCTTTTAGGGTATGTCTCTACCAGCTTTGCAAATGTAGAGACTGAAATCCTTGCCCATACTTCTTTGTAAAACAGCTCCAGCTCAGTCAGATTAGATGGACAGCGTTTGTGAACAGCAGTTTTCAGATCTTGCCACAGATTCTCAATTGAATTTAGATCTGGACTTTGACTGGGCCATTCTAACACATGGATATGTTTTGTTTTAAACTACTCTATTGTTGCCCTGGCTTTATGTTTAGTGTCGTTGTCCTGCTGGAAGGTGAACCTCCGCCCCAGTCTCAAATCTTTTGCAGACTCCAAGAGGTTTTCTTCCAAGATTCCCTGTATTTGGCTCCATCCATCTTTCCATCAACTCTGACCAGCTTCCCTGTCCCTGCTGAAGAGAAGCACCCCCAGAGCATGATGCTGCCACCACCATATTTGACAGTGGGGATGGTGTGTTCAGAGTGATGTGCAGTGTTAGTTTTCTGCCACACACAGCGTTTTGCATTTTGGCCACAAAGTTCCATTTTGGTCTCATCTGACCAGAGCAGCTTCCTCCACATGTTTGCTGTGTCCCCCACATGGCTTGTGGCAAACTGCATATGGGACTTCTTATGGTTTTCTGTTAACAACTTTCTTCTTGCCACTCTTCCATAAAGGCCAACTTTGTGCAGTGCACGAATAATAGTTGTCCTATGGACAGATTCCCCCACCTGAGCTGTAGATCTCTGCAGCTCGTCCAGAGTCACCATGGGCCTCTTGGCTGCATTTCTGATCAGCGTTCTCCTTGTTCAGCCTGTGAGTTTAGGTGGACGGCCTTGTCTTGGTAGGTTTACAGTTGTGCCATACTCCTTCCATTTCTGAATGATGGCTTGAACAGTGCTCCGTGGGATGTTCAAGACCTCATAGAAATGCCTCAGGGTTGGGAAACTGATATTTGTCACCATGTATTTACATTGCATCATACCACTGACAGACTTGCAGGCAGTTGAACGCACAGTCGCCCTCTGGTGGATGTGTGCAGTATGCACAGTCAATCTCATGACGTGTAGATCTGTATTCAGGCGCAGTTCATCTTAAATTTGATGTCCCAGCATTTTAGTTATGCCCCCTGGTCATGTGTGAGCAGCAGGCAACTGGTTATTCATTTTTGGGTTACATGTTGGGCTTCAGGAAATGTAAATACAATGAGATACCCTGTATAATACCAGCACATTCAAATACCACAAGTGTGTTTCAAGATTTAGGTTAACTCGTGTATCTGATTGACTGCGTCTAGGAAAGTCTTTCTGTATTACTGAAGAAAAACTGTGTGTGTTAGTTACATCTTTCTGCAGATTCTTCAGGTCACTTTTCACCGTGTCAGGTTGTTTTGAAAGTGGCAACATATCTTTCAACTGCTTGTTCACCCAGTCTTCCATCTGCAAATAGAAACGCAACATGATGTTTGAGCCTCATCAAAAATAAAATTAAGTAGTCACATAGTCGCTATTTTTTACCTTATTCTGGCTCACAGCTCCTGCGATGCCTGCTGCCACCAGGAGGATGAAGATGATGAGAAGGAAGATGAAGAACTGAGGGAACACACATGATATAGATCAACAATTTTTGTAAGACTTGCTGAGGTGAAAAGTTAAGCAAAATGTGTTTTCTGTCCACCTAAAGTTCACACATCTTTTTAATCAACAAAAACATTTGTGTCATAGTAACAAACCAACATATTTCAGTTTTTTAATCTTACAACTTAGCTGAAATAACTTCAACATAGATAGAAACCCACCAGCAGTTGGCAAAAGTTTCAGTTACTGAACATCAGGTATGTGTGTCGGTACAATCCCTCAGTGTAGGTTTCATTAACTAAGTAATGTGTTTTGCTTTGCCTCCCTCCAAAAACATTCCCAAAATAATCAAAATGTGATGCTCACCAGCAGCAGCATGCAGCGGCTCTCTCTGTAGGCTCCACAGCAGCCCAGGAAGCCGAGAACCATGATGATCGTGCCGATGGCAATCATCAGGTTGACTGCAGGGAAGTACTGATCGGTGATCTGTGGACAGATGAGGTGGAAGTCAAAGGCAAAGTCAAAGGTTGATCTAAAGTTTTAAAAACACCTATATGTGTTAGAGAGGATGTTGAAGTTTGTCTTTATGGAATAGTTTACGTGTGATCAGAGAAAATGTGATGAATGTCTGAGTGACAGATGGAAAAATACACAAGGATAAAGGCAATGTGAAGTGAGTGCACGTTTCAGATGACTGGTCCTGGTTGCTGAGCATGAGAGTAGCTCTACATAAAGCTCTGAAGGCAAAGCTGGAATCACAGTAAGTTTTATTTACCACATATTCTCCCTGAAGAATAAAAGAAAGTCACCTTTTGAGTGTTACCACAGATGATATAAACACAGTAAAGACTTATTCTTGTATGAGAGGTCCACACATCATCTGGAATCCATTGAAGAGACCCACTGTCACACCACTATACTACACCATCGCCTGCCCAAAGCCTTAGAACATGCACTTCTGTGCTCATCTATGCAATACTGCAGTCTCTTTAAAGTCCATCACTGACTCACCTGGTTTCCACCCTTGCTGACTCTCAGGTAGATGGAGACGGCCAGGATGAGGCAACCGCTCAGCTGGAGGGAGAAGAAGATGGAGATTAACCGAATGAGCCAATTTTACAGAATCTGGCGACATCTGGTGGTGAAACTCTGCAGCAGCGCAATAACAAAATAGACGTTGTGACATTTAACAAGCACTTCAATCCTCCCTGGAGGAAAAAGCTCTAAAGCTTACCTTTAACATCTAAGTCAGGGGAAAGAAAAGTTTTCAGAATTTGTAATGCATGGCAATATTTCCAGGTATATACACATGATAATATTTAACATAGGGCAGACAATTACCAGCAGGAATAAAATGGACACGTCTACTCGAAGGTGACTTTCTCGTAAATACAAGATTGTTTGTGCAGTGTTGCTGAAATTGCTTATTTTGGTGCAAATGATGAAGAGATTTTTATTTATTTTTTTAAATCTACCATTTAATGTTTTAATTTTGATTTTCTGATTTTGCCATTATCAATGTCCTCCAGTAATGAGAGTCAAAGCTATGCAGCAGCATCACATTTAGACATGACACAGCACTGCCATCATCATGTTAAAGTAAAAATTACAACATTGTCCTTCATTTTCATCAATCATACTGATTAGAATAAGATTAATACATTTAAAATACAATTGATAAAAATCATAAGAGAACACTTACAGAAGGAATAGAGGGACAGAGTCCAAATAAATAAAAATCAATAAATGGTTTGACTAGGGTTACCAAAACATCTACCAGTTACCATAAGATCCTTTGTCACATCCAGTTTACTTTGAGCTGCCGCCCCCCCAAATAAATAAATAAATCTGACACTTCTCATGTTTCCAGAGTTTTTTTATGCGAGGTCCTGATCACATGTTCATAAGTAAGCAGAGATTGTCACAGCTGTGAACCAAATTAAGCCACATCTGTCTGGTTAGTTTGATAACGTTCGCCGCCAACCACATATTTCTAACTGAAGAGCAGGGAGATGGGACTGAGCAAAAAGGAATGAAAAAACCCTTTTACACTCCAACAAAAGGTGTGTGTGTGTGTGTGTGTGTGTGTGTGTGTGTGTGTTTTTCAGGATGCAACACCTCAAACTGCACCTGAGATAACAGCTGGTAGTGTTATCTCCCTGGTACTGATCTGTGTGGACTGTGTCTAGGACTTAGGCGGCTGGAACAAACATTGCTCAAATATCTCTAAAAGTAAAACCCTGGTTAACTTTAAAAGGTCACAATTAGTGATTGAAAGTTACAGTCAGCTCTTTCCCTGTACACGTGTTCTGGGTCAGTTCCTCGAAAACATGCCCAGCTGGGGGAAAGTAGATTTCCGTGATTAAAAAGGTCACAGGGGAAACCTTTTCTGCACAAACATTTTCTATACTGAAAAGTGTTTGAGCATTTAAAATAGTCTCATATTCCCGCTCATAAAGCATTTTAGCTGTAACCCCTGCATATTGACACACAAAGTCAGTTAATTCACTTAAAAAGTAAAACTGGTGATTAGAAGCAGTGAAAGCTTGAGAAGGTTTACAGTTTTGTCAGATTTAGGCTGCTGCTTTCCCCTTTTAAAATCATTTTGTTTGAAAATCTGTGACGGGAGAAGTCTTGACCAAGTGCACAGAGGAAAGCTGTACAGATCATTATGAGATTAACAAAAATGACAAACTCATAACATATGCAGAATTAAAACAAGTCGGAGCTCCTCAAAAAATACCAAAAAAACCAAAAAACAAAACCCGCACCGTGTCATTTCCCATGCTTTAAATCGTCCTCGATATCACACACAAACAAGTCGTAGACATCTTTTGGGCAGATGACAGCAAAGTGACGTTCAGTCTGGTTTAACAACAAACAAAACCCTGCTGATGGCGATACTGCCCGAGGTGAAACAAAACAAAACTCAGTTTTTGGACTCTACATTTGCTGTTGAGACATCTGCCCTCATGTAGTAAAGAACGAATAGAGGCCAAAAACACAGACGTGTCCCACCTGCAGAGTCAGACATTTGGTTCTGGGTCTCACAACTTCCAGGAGAGTGTGTGCAAATCAGTACCGAGAACTGGGAACCGTCCTTTGTCAGGTGAGTGGGCGTGCAGCACAGGAGTGTTTCACCTGCTTTATCAGTGGAACAAAAAAAATTTTAAACCACCACACCCAAACAAAGTCATTGTTTTCTTTGGGAGGCGTTGGCGATGGTTGCAGGGGATCATCACAGCACATACACGCAGAGAGACTTTCTGTTAGGAAAAAACCTGCAGAGCAACATGCTATCAGAGACGAACCCGCCCCAGGGAGCAGCGGAAATAAAGGCCGAAGCCTACATGAACTATAAACTACGTCAGGAATTCATCCCAACTTATTCTTTCTCACATTTACCACACGATTTTCTCAGGGATTAATAAAGTACTCCGATTATGATTTAGAACCTTTTTAACCACAACCCACAGAGGCAGACACGTGGGGCCCTCTTAGCTCTGTTAATGTAATGGGAAACCAGTGAAGTCTGTTCACGTGTTGTTGTCGTCACACAGTTTTGTCCTTTTTATGAGTAATTTCACGACATGCACAACTTAACCTTTAAGTGCCTTTCAAGGGTAACGTTGCCTGTTAATTATTTACCATTACTCCACCACAACGGGAAAAACCCAACAAAGATTAAGATTAGAGATCCCAGTGACAGGGCGCATGCACACAGGTTAATCTTGGCCTCAGACTATTAGTGCTGAATATTATAGAAAAAACAAATACAAACGTCGGTATCATATCAAATTGATACGTGCTGGATCTATGTACTGACATTTTTGTCAGTGAAGAAAAACGAGTCAAACATATTCTAGACAAACAAGATCCACCTAGAGTAATTATGTTACGCAGAAAGGTGAGAGGAATTTGGAAGTCCGCAAATCAGAAGTTGTTTCTCATAAAAGCATGACAAAATGTCAACGCGTGGGAGGAAGAGAAGAGAGACGTGTGAACACATTTCTCAATGTCAAAGACAAGAAGAATAAACCATGTGGAGCAACTCATCAGTAAAAACATGACAGACTTCTACACTTTAGATTTAGTCTACAGTAATCGTTTGGTATTTAATCGACGCTGACTAAAAGAATTTAGATGGTTAAATCAGGAGTAAAACCAGTGAGTACGTCATGATTGGGCATGTTCCCAAAAGCAAGGAATGAGGGTGGTTAATTCCTTAGCACTGATTCACAGTTGGAGACTCATTGTCATTTCACAACACACACACACGCTGCAGTGTGGCTACTAGTAACCACAGAGCTTTGCAATGCCATGTGACCACCGAAACTGTAAACGCCTCCCTCAGTGAGGTCTCCGAGACACTGCTTCAAGTGGACTGTCAAGTCATATCCGACGGTAACCCACCCAAACTTCCAGTTATTTAAGTTTGTTTTTTTTTTAATTATTCAGAAAATATTGAAGCTCTTCACCTAAAAAAGGAAGCAACATTTTAAAATGACACAGTACAGTTCCTTTTTTACTTGTTCAAACATCCCAACAAAAGGTGACACTTGGACTGATTTGTACAAATGTTGTCTCTGAACTCAATTAAATTAGATTCAGAAAGTGCTCGCAGAGAATCAGCTGGATTGGTGGCAAGGATAAAAGAGGAAGGACACAAAACAGGCCTCACAGACACAGAACCCAGGGGAGAGCCAGCTGTGTGGCCGTTTTGCATTTGGATCTTCCTTTAGTTCATCTCTGTGGTCATTCAGGATGTTCTAAATCTCATCATCATCTAATCATTTTTTTTTACCTTATTCAATCTATAAGATGGAAAAAAAAAAAAACCCAAAGGAGAGTGGTCACCCATTTTGTGGTACCATATCTGTGCCTCACTTCACCATTATCCACGGCTGGCTTATTAGATTTCCTTTGAAATGTTCAGTTCTAGCAGCAGGTTTACTGACAGCTGCTTTAATAATAATGTATACAAGCGTCCTCTTTGTTTGAGTTATGAAAAATACATAAAACATTGATAAAGCTCAACACTAATGCCACTCGGCTCTGTGCCTCTGGTCGGTGCTGAGTGCTGCAGTAATGCTTCCTGAGGGCTGGTCTGCAGTGGTTTCTGTGGCTGAGTGCTGTACAGAAAGACCTTAAAAGTTCCTTGAAGGACAAGGCGGAGTCGTGTTTGAGCAGATAGGTGGTGAAAGAGAATCTTTCTTTGATGTTTCTCAGCAGAGCACAATATGAAAACCAGCATTAAACGAGCTCCACAGAAAATAAGAGGCCTGCTCCACCCTCGCCACCATCATTAGGTAAACACATCATGTCCGCTGAGTGGCTGTAATTAAGTTGGGATCGATTTGACTTCAGTTCTGGGAATCTGAGAGAAGACCTGAAAATAACCACAGCAGGCTGCAGGAGGAAACCTTTCAAACAGGACGTACTGCTTGATGAGGATTACAAAATGCCAGAGGCTACATGCATGAGTTTATGACCGAATAACATTTAAACCTGCGAGCGAACACACACACACACACACACACACACACACACACACGAGATGAACATGACAACATGCTTCTGCTTGTTCTGACTGGCTGTGCTCTCAAACAGACGTATGTGATCAGGGCTGGACTGGGACAAAAAATCGGCCCGGGCATTTTGACTAGAGACCGGCCCACCAAAAATGTGACGTCATTCAGGGGTAAAACCGCAAAGGATTCTGGGAACTTGTGGCAAGAGGTACTAGCGCATGCAGGCTTTCAATTGAACTCAGTTACACAGCGATAAAAAGAAACACAAAAAATGGCAAGAAGCTGTTGTATTATTAACTGCAATAGCCGGTGTTGTGCCAAAAAGTGATTGTCTGCCAAAAACTGATTGCTCGTATTTAAATTGCTATAAGTAACTTGTTGGGCTATAATATGTGAAACATATGTCAAATGCATCCCTCATGGATGACATAAAGTCATCTCTCCCATCTCTCTCTGCTGCTCTTCTGTCTCCTCTGTCACAGACTTCTCCACTTTTGATGATAAATCAGCCTGGTGCAACATGTAAGGATTGGCACAATTTGT